TGTCTATAAATGGTAAGTTTTAATTTGAGTTTGTTTTGCGGTGTAAGGACTCTTAATTGTCCGCACCACTGGGCGGATATACGTCACGGGCTTGACCGGTTGTGCACGGAATGGACACTTGTTTACGGTTCACAGTTTTGTGAGTTCGTGTAGCCGATATGTAAATATAGCTGTTTCCGATATTGTGAACAAGGCACAGACGACAGACTGTGGTAAGTTATGTTTCTTTCTTCCGTTTCCATATGTTTTTTTTCTGGCATTATTTTATCCATGCCGTCAAATCTATCGGGTCAAGCAATCGAGGTGTCGGTGCGCTCCAATCATGCGTAACTATTGTTGATACATTTAGTACACTTGTTTTGTGGTGTGTTTCTGCTATATCATTTTAATTTCATACTTCCTATTGATTTCTGGTGTATTTAGATAATATAAACATAATAGATTGTTGTGTGTAGAATTATTGAATAAATATAGGGTTCTTGTCCGTTTTAAAATTCTATGGAAGCTCTGAGCTAGAGCTATAGCGTTAGTTGGAGTGTGTACGCGCACTGGGTAAAAAAGTATGGAAGCCGTGAGACGCCAACTTCTATGAATTGTGCTTAGTCGTGTTTTTATAGCCATTTGGAGCCGAACACTTATCCCTTTATCTTTATTATATTGATTTACGTATATTTACAATATATTAATGAATATTTATATTATTGATAATTAATTATTAGTTAATTAGTATGCCAGGTGAGAGTGAATCTGTGTGACTACAGCATTATTTTCCACTATGTATTATTGTAGCTTCACATGACGGACTAGGAGTCTCAGCTATCAAACCAGGACCAGTCAGCTGTGCCAACTCATTGCGACTCCAGTGTCAGGACCGACCGGATGAGTTCTCTTCACCAGGGTCAAGGTCAGCATGGAATACATGTGTTGGGTCGTTACGTAGGCCAGGGTCAGCGACTTGCTTGGAGGCTGAGTCACAGTATATCTACTATTGGGATGGCTGTCGTGTCAAGGACACTAGTGTGTACATCCCAGCTTTCCTGTCGTGTCTTGGACACCAGTGAGTTTGCCAATTTGGGCGTTTCAAGCAAGCATGGTGCTGCTTGATGTGTTTATACCTCTTGGCTCTGGATTGAGCGTGGTTGCAGGTTAGCGACCGTCTTGCACCGGAACTGTACCAGGATCCCATTCGTCGTTGTGTGTGTAGCTACAGACTGTAACTTGTAATAATTGTGTTTGTGAATGAGTGAATTAGTGTGACGTGTGGGTATTATAGGTTTTTTTATTTAATCTCTTTATTGTCATCATTGTAAATAAACATTTGTCATTGCAATCAATCTTTTCGGTGTTCATTTCCCGGATCGCTGACCGACGCTCGTTCCACGTTACCACTGTGCATCCTCTATACCATGAATTAAAATCACCTATTAGTAATTCAATGGTAACAGCTCAATTTGTATAATTGATAAACTATATACGTGAAGGTAAAAGGTGTTCCTATACAAAAGGAAATGAATTAATTCAATTCGGTACACGAATGTTTTTTTTCACAGCAGAATTTTTCATAACTGATATTTCTTTTTTGATACAACACATGATGTTTATTTCACTAATTTACTGTAAATGCAGTAGATGGGAAGCAGCATCAGCATAACCGAGCACATCAATATGTCCATTTCTGTATTGGTCCTTCAGTTGACTAAGGCGAAAGTCTATAACCCCACTCATACGACGAAAATTTGCTTATATATGCAAAACACACGAGTGAATTTACACACATAAGTAAAAGTTAATTTGCTATGCGAGCATAAGAGATTTATGTACCGTCAGTAAATCCCCAAATTGCCATTTGAAATGAGGAGATGGACCGATTCAGACTGGTGAATTTTAACAGAAAAAGTGTATTCCCTTGCTATTTGGGAATAGGACTAGCTATTGGATGTTCCCGAATCAAGGACATTGGAAGGAAAGTCCGATCCACTGAATGGTACGACAGAACCGTACTTAATGACTTTACTAACGAAGATTGGTATGAGAATTTTCGAATGAAAAAGGAAACATTCTTAAAATTTTGTGAAAAATTGGGAAATGCTTTGACCCCGGCACGCATATTCCCATCACAGCTCCTAAGCATTCCCATGGAGACTACTTGAACTGGAAAGGGTTTACTCCTTGATTACTTCTGGTCCTGACGGAAATCTTGTAGCCTGCATGAAGAAGATGGTATCCACCCCTTCCATTTTCTATGAAGTTGATGTTTAACTGTGCATTAGCCATCATGGAATATGAACGATTGGAAAATATGAAAATTAGCGCAAGACCTTTGATAAGTGTTGTTTTAATTCCAACCCACCCAAGCCAAGAAGAATTGGTAACACGCATCCAAGCTTTGATGTCTTCGTTCATCACATCCATGTTTTAAGTAATATGGAAGACGGATCAGTTAAAGTTACAACAACACTAGTATATCAGGGAAACATTTAGGTACACAATTACCACTATTTCACGAACGAACTATCAAATGATAAAACAACATTTAAGCGATTAATGTGAACAATCAATAATTATATTTAACAATTCTATCAATTATGTGAGGGTTTAACAGAAGACACAGCAGCATCTAATAGGATATTATACATTTTAGAATTACTGGTAGCACGGAGTAGATTTATTTTGCGTTTTCAGTTCTAAATCTGTCATTTTGAAAAAAAATATTGATTTAAACACTTGTAAATACATTTCTTTTTGATATCACAGTTTAAACTCTTGATACTCTTGTAATTGTGTGAGTGTCGGTGAGCTAACACCACCGTGATGGGCTCCGTCATTTTCATGCTCACTTCGTCTGTTTTTGAATTTGCAGAGCCCCGAGATTTGGTAAGATCGTTCCTTTCGCTTTGAAGGTCGTCTGTATGACTACATTTTTTTACAAAAAAAAACCTTTGGAATAATGAACTTTGATTGTATGTTTGATTTTACAACACGCGACAGTGTGGTCTGTCGGGTGTGACGGGTTTTCCTTATCGAAGGCGTGATTACAAATCTTACCTGGTCACGCCTGTATTAGTTTACTCGACGCGCACGCTGTGTAATAGGTTCCCACAAACTGTGTCATTTGCTGTTTATCATATACATGTGTTTACAGCTTTATCGCGTGATATGAGACCTTATCTGGTATATAGTATTATATATCTAGTGACTTTCATGAACATTTGTGCTTGTAATTCTATCAAGGTTTACATAAACGCATTGCAACCCTCTATGATCAAATTGCCTCACGGTCATCAAAGGGTATCTCAACGTTATGGCTCGCGACTTTTCGAACGATCCTGATGAAACTGAATTAAAGACTCGATTCGGATTGTCCAGGCGAACAACGTTCTGACTGTTATGTTCTCACCAATAATTCTGAGTCAGTTATGGAAGATGATTCCGACCAGTTTGATAATCTGCTCATACTCCTCCCTAGAGATCAGTATTTGCAAAAGATTTTGCTCCTTGCTGACAACTCGGAGAGTAAGTTGCTTTGGTATAGGTCGGTATTGCACGACCGGGCACGCCACGTAAAGGGTTGTCCGTCCAGTAATCTCATATCGCGGAAATCAACCATCAGAAGTTCGGCCCAATCTAAATTGGCTCGCGACTGTTTTATTCTTCAGCAGTTTTTGAACGGTGATTCCGATGGTGAAGTTAATGAGGTGTTTTCTCAGAGACCACGTTCACAATTTGGAAAGGTCCCCGATAAACCTCCAGATGACACTAACAATGATATCACTTCTATTCGCACTGAAATCGCCCTGATGCGCAAGCAATTGCATGAGCTGAAAGATAATACTAATTCTCGTCTTGATTCGGTTATACTTGACCAGAAACAGTTGAAATCCGATATTCAGACATTGTTCTCAAATGTCAAATCCTCCTGTGAGACGATTGACAAGGTGTTTGCAGATGACATTGAACATGGGTCGGCCCCGAAGTCTCTCGCTGATCGGTTACACTTGGTTTCATCCAAAACGCTGTCACTAGAGAAATTTCGTAAATCTACTTTGGTCGAACTTTCAAGTTATACTCAGTCTATCAACGATATTCGTTTAAGTCTAGAACGCGTCAATGATGCTCGTTTTTCAAGCGGTAACTTTGCGCGCAATGATATTCGCTCAATCCAAGAAAAGATTGATAATGTTGAAAGAGACGTCACCTCTCACAGATCCCTTGTGAATTCTATTCAAGATTGTGTTTCTTCTCTTAAATCGCGTATTCGTGACATGGAACATTCTGTCGCCGAAGCTCCAGTCAGGGCCAAGTCTTGTGCTGATACTGCGATTACAGTGTTTGCCGAGGAGCTGGGTAAAGAGATCAACGGTATCCGTAGATATGTTCATGATTCTGTGACTGTACAGCAAGTTATCTCATCGGACCCACAGACCCAGCCCATAGCCCCACCTGTTGAATCCTTACGTGTGTCCTCCGGCGTAAAAGTAATGCGACTGTCGTATCTGGTGAATCTGTACCTACATCCAACTTGCCAATGCCAGAGCATGTGCCAAGTCCTCCCAAGGAACAGTCTTATGCGGAATCGGTGACCTCATCTGCAAGCGAATCAAAACCGAGCCGTTCCTCTAGTCCAAAAGAACCTGAAGCTAAGCACATGAACGGCTTTGTTGGTGTCACAAGGAGAAAGACCACACATTTCTTCGTCACTGCGGATCCTATTCACGTAACATTTCTTCGTCTCCTGAAAAGTCGTATGCGTGACTGCGTGTCTGCGCGAATCAACATCTTATCCAGTGATGTATCCAAAACAAAATCGCGTGATTTCTGGCATGGGGGAGTCCGATGTCGTAAGTGGATGAGTCAATCCCGGTTTTATGGCGAGAGTGCACAGAGTACAGAAGAGCACGGTCAAAATGAATGACCGTAATACGAACGGATTCGTTCTTTGTCTATTTACCCTTTTATGCATGGGAAATCTCCGCATTATGACATGGAACGCGACAGGAACTATGTCGTCTGGATTTCATCTCCACAACGCACTGAATCGGCATGATGTTGACATATGTGGCATATCGGAACACTGGCTCTTTGAGGAAAACAGCCACTTATTTCAGAGCATCCACAATTCATATGATTCTCATGTTATATGTGATTTCTCCTCACATCCACATGCTGACAGAAGAACGCGTAAAGGTGGTGTTGCGCTGATGTGGCGCAAGCGTCTATCCGATATGACAGTTGTTATTGATTCTGATGACGATCGTATCGCGATAATTAAAGTTGTCATGGAGGATACTGTCTTTTATGTAGTCCAGGTGTATTTTCCAACAATGCGTTATGGAATGGACTTGTTCCGCTCATATGTTGACAAGCTCGATGAACTGTACACAAGACTCTCTGCAGATGGATTGGTTATATTTATAGGGGATTTTAATGCCCCTCTGAGTGGTCCTCGTGTAAGTACCGGTCCGAATCCTCAAGGCATTGCTCTGCAACATTTCTTGGATCTGAACCAGTTAACTGCTGTCAACACACTGTTTACTTGCCTTGGCCCTGTAAACTCCTATGTGCATGGTGACGATACCGCATGCTCCCTAGTGGACTACGTCATGGTTGACTCAGGAAAGATTGATCTGGTCACTGAGTGTAAAACTTCTGACGACAGTTTTCTTGACGTCTCTAATCACAGAGCCATATTCTTTGTCATACGTACTCCAGAGGGAGTTTTACATAACTCCAATTCCGCAAACACTTTGGAAAGAACATCTTTCAAGTGGATCACAGCTGGTAACAATAGAAACACTGATGTATATCGTAATACTGTTGAACGTCTATTGCGTGTCTCAGGTCTAGTTGAACGTGATATTTCGACTTGTAACGAAATTGAAACCTTCACATCTGATCTCGTTGGAGTGATTAAAGAGGCTTCCCTAACATCTCTACCTGTAAAGAAATTTCGGACGTTCCTTAAACCATATTGGAAAGGCCAACTCAAGGACCTACATAAAAAAATGTGGAATCTTCGTTGTGTCTGGGTTAAGCTTGGTCGTCCACGGGGTGACAACTCTGAATCCTTTCGTCTGTATAAAGAAGCAAAGTGCAATTTTCGTAGGGCTCATCGTCGGCTGTCAGAGGAACATCTACAGAAACAGAATGATGACGTTGCAGAAGCGGCTGAGGTAGATCAGCAAACATTCTGGACACTAGTAAAACGTCGTTGTAAACGTAGTGAGGGCACAGCGAGTGCAGAGATGATTTTCGATGGCCAGACAGTCCGAAACCCACAAGAACTTGTAGTTCACTGGGGTACATATTTTTCATCTTTGTATAAACAATCTGAAAGCGCAGATTATGATGACGCTTTCAAAATGTTTGTTGACTCTAAAATGAAAACTATTCTTGATCAGCCCTCAGTATCATCGCATTTCAGAAGCTTTATAGCATATGAAGTAAAAGCAATTTGTAAGAAATTACCGTTAGGTAAGGCACCTGGTCATGACAACTTAGTTTATGAACACTTCATAAATGGAGGTGAACATCTGTATCACTGTTTGACGAAATTATTTAATGCTATTATGTTTCATGAGTTTTTCACTTAAGCTTTAAAAAGGGACTAATCATTACACTATATAAAGGCAATAACAAGCCTAAGTGTGACCCGAATAGCTACCGTGCAATATCTCTTTTGCCTGTAATTTTAAAGGTTTTTGAGAAGCTTTTTCTGTTGAGACTTGAGTCCACCAAACGTTTTGTCGTTAATCCACTACAGAATGGTTTTCAGCCTTATGTTAGCAGCACTATGACCTCTTTCATGATACATGAAGCGATCACGTACGCCGGTGAACAAAATAACAAATTATTCACTTGTTTTCTTGATGCAGCAAAGGCATTCGATTGTGTTTGGCACAATGGATTGTTTATGAAATTATCTGATCTGAAGTTTGATATTAAATTCATCAAAGTATTAGCTTCTATGTATCATGATATGCAAAGTGCGGTTGTATACCAAGGTTTTGTCTCTGATTCTTTCCTTATAGAGCAAGGCACTAGGCAGGGAAGTATATTATCACCATGGCTGTATACACTATTCATAAACGATCTGTTGGAAGAATTATGTAATTCAAATGTATCCCTGATGATAGAAGATGTAAACGTTACTTGCCCGACACAGGCCGACGATATTGTACTTCTATCCTTTAACAAGTGTAATATGGATATTTTGATGAATATATGTTACAGGTATAGTTGTAGATGGAGGTTTAAGTATAATGCCTCAAAAACGTGTATTATAGTTTTTAACGAGTCAAAAACTAGCTTTGCCAGGTCCTCACGTAACTGGTATCTGGGGAGTGAGGCTGTGAATGAATCCCAACATACCACACACGTGGGAATATTTCTAGACAAATTCAAATTTGGTCGTCCAGATATCGAAAATATACTCCACAAATTTAGAAGTTCTTGCTTTTCCTTTTTAAATGGAGGGCTATTAGGAAAGTCGGTAAACCCCCTCATTGGCCTGAAACTGTTTCGTTCAGTAACAATTCCGTGCGGTTTATTTGGCTCAGAAATGTGGTTTTCATTAAGTCTAAAAGATTGGTCACGTTTAGAAATCATCCAACATTTTTGTGCCAAAGTTATCCAGTGTTTCCCTTTCAGAACTCGTTCTGACATGGCACTAGGTATGTTGGGGCTCACTTCATTAAAGGCGAAGGTAGAACAGTCTAAACTCCAATTCTTTGGTTCCCTATGTCGCCTGAGATCTTCAACCACTGTAAAACAACTATTTTTATTGCGGTTGTTTCAGAAACACATGTGTGTATATAAAAGTGTTAAGGGAGTCATATACGACATCTGGTCTATAATTCATAAATTTGGTTTAGAAGAGTATTTACACTCGTTTTTGAATGAGTCTGCTTTCCCTTCTAAGAAGTATTGGAAATTTCTTGTCAGGAATGTCATCCATTCCCATGAACAATCAGAATGGTATGAGCGCTTATTCAGCTGTCCTGATTTTCATCGATTCCAAAATTTGCACGGGGAACTTCGCCCATCGTCTCTGTGGTTTTTGTGGAAACAGCTTTCCTCGAATCAGTCTCATATTTGTAGTAGTGTGGCAAAGTTATGGTTAATAAGTCCAAACTGTGAGCTGCTATGTGCCAAATGTAATATGAGGTCTTCGGACGCTATAACACATTGCTTACTTGATTGTAATCATCCAGATTTGGTTGCTTTGCGTGATGATTTTTTCACAAATATTGTTAACAATTTTCCCGTTGAACTGTACGTCACACTAGATAATCTAGAAAGACAGGACTGTATTTGTATCCTGTTAGGACACATACCTGACGATGTACGGGAACTACTCCCAGATGAAGAATATTGCACAAAGTTTGCATACGAGTGTTGTTGCTTTTCGGTTAAAGCTGTTGATTTCACTTTTCAGTGAATCTGTATATGTTCTTATTTGCATTCAAATGGAATACTTCTTATATATATATAGTTTTTGCATTATTGTCTCTAAATTATTTTCCCATTTCATATATTTTTCCATGGCTATTTTCGTCTAAGTACTATTCCTTATTGTCATTAATATTGTATGTACCTTATATATTTGTATTAATTTTCTGATTCTTTGTCATAAATTTGTAATGTACTCTTCATTTCTGGAGGAATAAAGTCAAAGAATGAGACCAATATGAGAAAAATACTTAAGGGAGGATGGTGGGTGAGAGTCTATCTCAAAAGGGGACATTTAAAACGTCACTATGTCCAAATTGTATAACATACTTAAATGACTTATTTGAATATGCAAATTGGATTTTACTCTTTATTTCCGGTCTTCGCTTGATCAAAGACTACATATTATAAAAATAATGTAATACACAATGACTAGAAAGATTAGTTTTTAATTTGCGAGTGAAAAGAACAGTAGATGTATGTATTACCTTTTCTGTTTCTGTTTACCTTTTTTTGACCAGCTACTAACAGATAATTAAATCCAGGATGAGCTTCTGTAACGATTACACATAATTCATGGAAAATGTAAGCGCACACTGAAAGTGTCATCTTACACTGTAATACAGGTTATCTAAAAGAAAAAAACACAATGAATACAAACTTCGCTTCCCCAGTAAGAGATCACACTTGTGTAATGTATACTGTGTGTGTGTGTGTGTGTGTGTGTGTGTGTGTGTGTGTGTGTGTGCGTGTGTGCCTTCGTTTACCCTACAAAACGAGGTATCAACCTTGAGTACACCCCCACGAAGCGAGGTACGAAAATAAAGCGAGGTACTTTTCCCGTTACTTCGCTTGGCGCACCCCGCTATCTGCTTACAAACTTTATTCTGAGTCCACAGACAAAATTTTAGCGAGTACCTCACAACACTGCTGGTTACTCACCACACTGTGTGTCGCCGTTCCACCTCGATCGATTAAACATCAATCCGCCAATGGCACGCACTCGGTATTTCCCGCCAAACTAACTTTCGGAAGTCACCTCGCGTGTACACGTCCTCGCGCCTTTTCATACGAATGCTGTAGCCTCGTTTTGGCAGGGAAGCGCATGGTGGAAGACACTGTGTTTAAACTAAATGTCGCCAAAGGGAGGTACCTTTTATGTACCTCGCTTGGCTTGTTCAGTGTTGCCACATTGTGTTTAAACCCCCCCCCCCCCCCCCACACACACACCCACCCACCCACACAAATACACACACAGCCATCCCCTTTATCAAAAAACAAACAAATAAACAAATGACTCAATAACACCGTCTTGTTAGTAAGGGATTCTTTATACAAGCTGTATTTACATGTCAGTGAACCGACAGATCTGCGAACGAAATGTCTTTCACCTCATTTGCTTCAGTTACCGATTTGCACCTCTATGGGTAAATGATCACTCACTGCATTGGTCTGTGGATGAACAAAAAGGACATTTTACGAAAATAAGTTTATGATAAGTTCCTTACAAACAGTTGATAGTAGGAATTTTAGCATACATTCGGAAACCGTCGGCATTTCCCTTAAACGAGGACGTAATGGTCTTTATTTTTGAAAGTGAAAGATCGCTAGTTCGAGACTTTGGGAGGTAAACAGGGTAAAAATCTCTTCTCTATCTATCATATATAAAGAAAAACAGAAACAAAAACAACGTAACATCCAAATTGTTTTGTGTAAAACGCAGACGTGAGGATTTTCGGCTACCGACACTGGTATTTACGGATTTTCACTCTGTAAAACAAGGTGACAGTGACCTCCTTTGATAAGGTTATTATTACTGGCTGGTTTTACTTACTTGGTTAGGAGTGAGATTCATTGCCTGTTGGAAGTTGTACACACGGGCACTGTTTGGTACAATATTCTGTTTCAGCTCATCCCCGGCAACAATGAACCTGTAATAAACGGTTGACTCAAGGTAGATTCTCCCACTGACTTTCTGATATATACAAGATCGCAAAAATATTACGAACTGTATATTTACAAACGAAAAGGCACAGATAGCGGCCTTTTTTCTTAATTCGTAATAAGAAACTTTGACTGGAATTCAGAATTTTGAAAAATCAAAAATATCAAATCAGAAACAAATTTCAAATCAATATCAGAGCAAATGACAGAATCTGACTTTTAGTAATGAATTTTGATTTTGAAAAAGAAGAAACAAAAAGAAAAAAATCAATCACACACACACACACACACGCACACAGACTTGATTCCTAACACTGGCACAAGCAGCTGTGATTTATCCCAAATATGATTGATATTCTGCATGATATGAAAATATTATGTAACGGACCTAACTGTTACGAAAAATTAAAAAAAACAGTATGGAGACGACTATGTCTAACAAGGGAGATCATAAAAAATCACCCCGCGATTTCCATATGCCAAGAAAATTGATCGAATAACAAAAACATGTGTTGTAAATAAATACAAACACTTCTCTTCAGTCATTTTGGTAATAATTCCTTATTGGACCGTTGCCTATTGCTATCGTCAGCATTTTATATAACGAACTCTTCTTCGCTGGAGGTGCATAGCCTTTTAATGTAACAGCCGACCTTAACAAAATCCATTTCGGAACCAAGTACATTCGACACTGATCTGCATTATATAATGAGAGATAAGAACTATCAGACCTGTGTCTGAGTTCGCTAAGAACCATCAACACTGATACCTGTCGTAAGCGCAGTCGGTACTGGTAGACACAGTGGAGTCGGCATCACTGTCGATGAGCCACGTGAAGCGTTTGTCTGTGTAGAGAAGGTTGTTGTCGTGGCGCGTGTGAGACAGGTAACGGCAATCAGCATTCAGGTCCCCAGCTATAATGGCGTCCTGAGGAGATACAAGAATACTGGCAACATTCGGAAATCTAGATTATCATCAAGTCTCTGAATAAGATAGAATTTTCTCTTACCCTGGACATGTAAATCCAAGCTTTCTGCCATTATAAGATTTCCTTATTGCACCCCAAGATTTAGACAGGGGGATTCCCCTGTCAGGACAATGCTAGAACCTGACAGCAACTATTCTCTGATGTCACGTCAACGATGAGAAACAATTGGACAAGAAAAACACACACAAGTACCTAATAAAGTCAAGAGGAAAGAAAGACAAGCATTCACCACCTCGTTGGTAAGATAGTGTGATCTGAACCCCGGGAAAAATATGTTTAAATTGTTAACAATTGGCTAGCCTTGTGCTTGCTAACTGAATAATCTTTCCTCTCGGGTTGAGATCCACCTATCTTACCACCAAGAGGATGAAAGATTCTATTGGTCAACAGCACACAGAGATGAAAGTTTGATAATTTCTGATATGACGTCATACCTGAATCCCCATGAGATTGGTGATGTTGTCGTAAGCAGATACCATGTGTTCGAGCTCAGCGGGCGTGTCTGTTGGCTGTGTGTGGAGCACAATATATATAAAGTTGGCAGGGCCTGAAAGAGAAAGATGATTTCAAGGCTCCATTTGCATGGTAGTAAACCAAAGAACATGGTGGTCAACACGTCCTAGGGGCTGTTGTCATGATAAAGACATGTGGAAATGTTTGTGTGAAATAAATGAATTTTTGTGCGTGTGTGTTATGTCGGTTCTTGATGTTTTATTATAATATAACTAATTCAATGTATTATTATTTAATTACTCATAAATCTTCGATCTGACCTGGAGATTTGGTTCTTTGTTATATCAACGGTACTTTTATCGACATCTTGTTGGAAGATATGGTAGATAGTAATTGTAATACTCACGTGAATCGAGAGAATGGAACATGACAGCATATGGTTCTCGTGCAAATACGTCATCCTGATCCGGGAACTGATGTACCTCTTGTACAAACACGTTATTTATTCTGTCGTTAAAACACAATTATGACTTACTACACCAAAATACAAACAATCAATCATTCGGAATTATTTAAAAGTAATTCTTATTCTTAAATCAAAGTACAATGTAAGCCGAGATATTTGAATAATTGGCGCAACACAAATTCGTATTCCGTACTGACAACCAGTCATTCGGAATTATATAAAAGTAATTATGATTCTTAAAACCCCAAAGTTTTTTTTATTGTTTCAGTCAATCGAAAGTATGATGTTAGCCGAGAAGTTCAAATAATTGGCGCGACACAAGTTCGTATCCCGTCGATGTGACGTAGTGATAATACTAGGATGTACTTACCGGAACAGGACGGCATACGATTCTGTATAGTGTACATTACGTCCCAGTTTCTTACTCACTACTACGCCGTACGGGTTGTCCCGATTATCCCTAGACGACAGTTGGAAATATCATTATCGTATAAACCATATCAATTATAAATAATAAAACCGCATATGTTTACCCATTGTTTAGAATGTCTTTGTCTTCACTGACCTTTCTATAACCTTTAAATTCTTGGTTAAGTGAAATTTGATGTATTTTCTAGGGAAAATTCTTTGCTCTGACTAAGAGGTGCATTTATCACAGGAAGACGCAATTACGTCTGTCTTTGGTTACCGTTAGTATACATTGCAGAGAATATTCATAGCACAAGTAACTATCGCAAACACGAGCTCATACATGTATTGTTATTGTCGACCTTTGAGACCAGAATTCCGATGTTATTATTATAGTGTGAAGTCTGTGACTTACATATTGAGTTTCTGCACCAACATGTGGATGGCATGGTCGTCCCTTACCTCGATGATGGAAATTATATCATACCTTTGTATTATCTACAACAGAAGATGGCACGGTCTTCCCTTACCTCAAGGAAGGAGATTATATAATATCTCTGTATTATATAATACCTCTGTAATATCTACAATAACGAGATTATGTAATACATTTGTATAATTTTCAGCATGGATGTAATTTATAGCACACTTTTACTTCCTGTCCAGTTTATTGGTCTGGCATTTCAACAGGAACAAAAGATTGAGATTGTGTTTGGTAATTGTATAGTATAGAAGTCTCATGATATTTGGGGATCAGTATAATATGTACAACAGAAACACGACTAGATAATACCATTCTCTACAAGTTCCAGTTTCAGTATTATACCGTATAATGCATTAAACAGCAGCGTACAGTTGTTAAGCCCTTCTAGGACTCGTCAGTGATGCGGAAGACTGAAGGAGTGAAAATCCAAGAGCAGAGCAAGGCTTGACAAAAAGTCCTAACAAATGAGACATAGGTAAAATATAGGAAGGCAGGTACATTAACCATGTTTGTTCATATCATATAACTCTGCAAGATAAATATGCGATATGAGCAACGCAGAGTCAGTTGTAGTAAATACTTTTGTGAAGAGGTGGAAATGACGCACGATGTCTTGTAACTTAAATTTGGGAAATAAATATAGAATGCAAAACGTTTGCGACGCAAGATAATGCTGAAACTCTCACGTGCCTGTTTGATGATACTCAGTGTTTCGTTGTTGGACAGTTTGTTGACACTGAGCCATTTGATGTTGAAGGAGGCGATTTTCAGGTTACACAGTCCCACGGTAGCTATGGAGAGCAAGAGGACAAGCCGGAAGTACATCGTCATCTGCTTCATCTAAAAGAACATTGATAATATCGATCATCATCCTTAACAGAAAACCAACCCATCGTGAACCTTGTCGATGTCAAGAAGGGAAAGTAGGGATACCATCACAGTCCTTCCACCTACCATCTAAGCTGTGTGATCTTCCATCCGGGACTTGACCCTGACGCCTTGTGACGTCATGTGTAGATTCAACGACTTAATTTTGTCTTTTTCAATGTTTTTCTTATTATCTCAATAAACTTTAAACAACTTTGATGAGAAGGAACCGGTGATCTGAAAATTATTGAAGTTTCATTTTATTTATTCATTTATTTATTTATTTATACAGGTAATCGAGAAGCTAAATCAATAAAGATATTGATGGATTCAATTAAGCATTCTAGGTGTTCTTAAACCAAAAACGAAAGGTTGTATTTCCTGATTCTGATGTCAAATTTTATACACGAATATTCGAAATGACATAATTTTATGTTTGTGCCTGCAGATAAGGTGTTTTGTTTCTGTTACTTTCAAAATACATCTAGACTCAGCAGAGGTTTATCTGAACATTGCCGAGTTTTTTTATAAGAACAATCTTAACTAATAATGTTAATGAGAATAATAGAGCAAAATACGAATAAAACAATCGCCTTTGAGTTTTAATTCTGATATGTATGTAACGATGTACTATGATCTTGTGATCTATAGTCGACACATCATCAATATTTCTGAAAGTGAAATCTCTTTGATAAAGTCAGTCTAGTTAGAAAACAAAAGCAAATCAGACAAAAAAAAAACGGGCATAGAATGTTCCCATAAGTATACCAGAAAGATATTGGAGTCAATAACAACCAGAATTATTATTTTTTGAAATAGATTTCGTTTCGTCCTCCGCATATTTTTTCTTTGAGCGCATTATGCTGATATGCTGTCCTACCTAACAGATGACACTGGCTATACCGACCACCATATTGGTATTGGATTATCAAAATTTACAAGAATCATTTGCTTGACTAGATGATGTATCTTGTCTAATCCAAACTCCTTTCTTCTATTCTTAGCACAACCGGATGAATAAAGCATATACTATGGTAATACATTCTCGCTCCTGAAGTGGTGTTGATGGGACTTTTGAGCAGTCCTGAATATTCGTTCCTCTGAAATAGGCTATGGTTATGTACTATGAAACATCTTATCCCAATACGCCATCACACTACTTTCTAAATTAAAGGGATGCATGTTTTCTCCTTTTCTAACAGGTGTCCTATTAAGGAATAGAAAAATAACGAATCGCAGGATTTCGGAAAATAAAAGGTGAAAAAAAAAACATGACAAAGGATCACGTGGTGAAATTCTTTTGAATTATCATCATATTGCTTAGGCAAACACTAAGCGTACATACAATAGTACATTGTCAATAGAGAAGAATTCCTTCCTCGGACAGGAACCGGGAGTGTAGGAGGGTTATAGTGTGGTTTATACATCCGGGGGAATATTGAATATCTGGGCTGCATATGACGTGAAAATCCATTTCATAAAACTCTCAAACCCTCCAAACTGTAGATGGTCCAGGGCGAGACAAAAAATAATCTTTTGTGTTGTATGATTTTCTGTGTTACATTTTATTATTTAACGGAGAACAAATTGACCTATCGTTTAACCTCTACCTTCGGATATTCCTATTGGGTGATATTTAAAAAAAAAACAGTTTCAGTTATGGAATTATGTTGTGCCTTGTATAGTATACAAATTGCCGTCCCAGTAATTCATTCAGTTTTAAAATGTGATGTGTAATGTGACCGTTTTGTTATCACAATAGTAATCAACACGACGGATTCGTACATCGGTAGATTCATTAAACAGATATAGGCGTGTAACAGAAAATGGACTTACATTCCCTGGCGTATGGGTCATCTCAATTCGTGAGAAACTTATCTCTGATGTGAGTCAGTGCCTTTGACAAGACTTCAACTACAGATAACAATTATATACAATCACGATGTCACAAGCAAACTATGGCTTACTACAACATCTCACACTAACTAAGAAATTAGGAAAATGAGATAAGGCTACTACTATACATTGTAAAATGGTGACTACAGATATTTAAACTTTTACTGTAGAATCCATTTATATGTCCGTCAACGCCATTATCACTTACATAAAACGTTTTTCAAGTGACCCGAAAGACTTGGAGCCAGATGGGCTGTGGTCCTGCATTGACTGCCATGCATGTAGGCTACTCCTGTGCATGAGCGTAGTATTTCTATAAAAAGAAGCACGTTCGGTTTCTATCGTTAAATACCCATGTATCAGACGTAGAATGATGATATTTTGATCTTTATAACATAATTTACATGTATGTATGTTGTACTAAAAACGACTATGTTTGTAATCCGAATCAGACTTAGATAACGATGTATATATTTTATTTACATCAAGCAGCTTGTCTTGCCGCTTCATCACTATATTACACAATATCACATTTTATTCATAAATAGCATTGAATATACTTGTAATTAGAAATCATTGAAAACAGTTTTAGATGTCACTGAATTCGACATCTGTTGTTTTTGAACTACTTACATTAATGTTAAAAAAATCCTATGTATTTCCTATATAGGTTTCAATACCGAAGTACGAGAATACAAGAAATGTACTAGAACGGGATAAGACGATATTTCTCAGTAGACATATACTTTACATCTATAAACAACACATTCTATAGATAAGTTTACCACTGATTACTCAATACATGACCACCTGTGGTATCTATTCTCGTCCAATCCACGTGTGGTTCACGAGACTTTGTATCAGTTACCGAAAAAAGTTGCTGTAGTTTTATTCTGGAAGAATATTAACTGCTTTTATCTTACAAGAAAAAATAGATAACTCTCGCAAGTAATATACCGTAACCCACAGGGACTCGGCTTGGAAGCCTAATCTCACTGTCCGTTTATTGATAATACATGAATATGGACCATAGAGTTGGAAATTCGTGCCAGGTCCCTGTGGGATTGTGGTGCTAAAGTACCTGTGCCTTAGAATGCTTCTGTCTTCGGGTAACACATCTTCGGTCCCACATGAAAATCACACTATCGTTTTTTTACCTGTGGTCGAGGAAGCGGGTAAAAGACAATGTTTGGAAGACGTGATACAATGGCTAACCGACCCATTAGTGATATTCTACGGCGTTGTCTCCCCTTATACGCAACAACTCATAGTGTTTGTACATGTTTTCAATAGTTAAATATCAAATAATCACTGCAGTGTTACATGTGTCAATAAATACTTTTAAAAGTTTCATCATATAATGCATGTAACACAATGTACTGTACACGTTTGAAAAGTCTCTTTGTACAGAACTCTTTTGGAATGAAGCAGTATAACAAGGTTTATGTTATATTTCTCCTTAAATAGGTTTCCATACTATATGATTACTCTCACCGTAGCTAGATATAGTAATGAATTAAATGATGTAAATGACTAAAATATTTATGTATCTTGCGCACGATTTTTTTTTTTTTTTTTGCTGATTAGTTCCAAACAGCCATTGTCATCATTTTATAACAAACACTCGCTGTATCGTTCCTTTATTTGCTTTATTTAGCTTTATTTCCCAAATTTCCTATGCGTTCAAACCAATCATTGGATAAAATGAAATTGACAAAAACGTCCAGACAGAAAATTCTCATCGAGTATAAATTTTTCATTCGTGGCATTAACGTAGAAGTTGACAAACAGCTAAAGATATGAAGATGTTTCTAGAAGTTGACAAACAGCTTAAGATATGAAGATGTTTCTAGAAGTTGACAAACAGCTAAAGATATGAAGATGTTTCTAGAAGTTGACAAACAGCTAAAGATATGAAGATGTTTCTAGAAGTTGACAAACAGCTAAAGATATGAAGATGTTTCTAGAAGTTGACAAACAGCTAAAGATATGAAGATGTTTCTAGACGTTGACAAACAACTAAAGATATGAAGCTGTTTCTAGAAGTTGAAAAACAGCTAAAGATATGAAGATGTTTCTAGAAGTTGAAAAACAGCTAAAGATATGAAGATGTTTCTAGACGTTGAAAAACAACTAAACGTATGAAGATGTCTCTAGAAGTTGACAAACAGCTAAAGATATGAAGATGTTTCTAGACGTCGACAAACAACTAAAGATATGAAGAAGTTTCTAGATGTTGACCAACAGCTAAAGATATGAAGAAGTTTCTTGGAGTTGAGGTATCTTCGTCCTATTTTTCAATGTTTTTTTTTTTAGATTTTAAAACTGGAATTCAACCGCAAAAATAGCCAAACTTTCCACGATATAAAAAGATTATGCTAGAAATTACACATTTCTCACGTAATTTGTTGCTAAGTGAATTTTATTTGTACGTGTCTTTCTTAAATAAAACCTTTATAAATACATTTACAGTAGTCCTGTTGTCATAGTTCCTGGATCACGGGTGGGCAAACGGGTGTATTTCCATTACCTCCCCTTATTGTTTATTAGTTTAATTGTCTGGTTTTTTAAAAATTTTTAAGAGTGGTAATATTACAACGGATTAACCTGTCTAATTTTCACATTGCGACACTTTTTTTCCATTGTTAAATTGTAAATCTCATTTCGCATGACATCATCATCGAAATCTCCGATTCTTTCAGGGAGAAGCAAAGAAAAGATGCTTTCATTTTCGGTAAACTTTAACAATTTTCAGAATAAGTATTGAGTACGACAAGCATTTTTATTGGTGAAACTAAACGAAATGTCTGCATGGAAAAGTCAAGTTTCTTGGCCACGAGAAACAGAAATCGGCTATAAAAAGCAGCTAAACAAGATGGAATGGCATTACGAGGGAGAGACTTTAGCCAGTTGCCCAATACACATTTTGTCTTTCAATAAAATCTCTGTGAATGAAAAATGGAATTTCATCACCGACACGATATTGTCAATGGAAGTTTGACATGATCTCTTAGGGATTTCGGGCAGTTTGCATTTTTTTGGGTAGATTATGTACAATTTTTGGATGTTTTGGCAATTTAAGTGATATATGACGTTTTATCTAAAAAAATATTTAAAAATAAAACACGACTCAAAAACATCGTTTTGTAGCAAGGGATTCTTTATATAAGCTGTGTTTACATGTACATGTCAGTGAACAGACTGATTTGCGAAAGGAATGTCTTTCTTCTCATTTATTTCAGCTCCTGATTTCCACCTCTATTGGGAAATGGTCACTCACGGTTATGGTCTGTGGATGAACAAAAACGACGCTTTACGAAAATTTGTTTATAACTAATTCCCTACAAACGAATGGTGGTAGTAATTTTATAATACAAACCGTTGGCATTTCCCGTAAACTCGTTATGAGAAAGAGATGTTGCTAGTTCGAGACCCGGGCTGGACAAGGTAAACATCACTTCTTTACCTACATGTATCGTTTAAAAAATACAGAAACAAAAACAGTGTAGTCTTCGATTTGTATTGTGTATAAACAAAGACGTTTTCTTGTTACCGACAGCTGTTGTAAGAATTAGGTCACAGTGACCTCCTTTGATATGGCTATACTTACTTGGTCGTACGTGAGCTTCATGGCCTGTTGGAAGTTGTACACACGGGCACTGTTTGGTACAATATTCTGTTTCAGCTCATCCCCGGCAACAATGAACCTGTAATAAATGGTTGACTCAAGGCAGATTCTCCCACTGACCTTCTGATATATACAAAGTCTCAAAATATTATGAACTGTATATTTACAAAGAAAGAAATACAGGTTGAGGACTTTTTTTCTTAATTTGTTATAAAAAATTAATTGAACTTAAATTTATATTTTTTAAAATCTTTCTGCCAAAAGCAAACAAAAAAAAAACAAAAACAAAAACAAAACAAAACAGAAACAACAATGCTCCTCCCCCCCAACCCCCAATCCTTAAAAAAATCAACAACTCACAAATGATAACATCATTCAAGACAAAAAAACCCAAATATGACAAGAAGAGATGGAAAAATAAATTTTTAAACATTGATATAAGCAGTTGGTATTTACAACAAGCCTTATTGATATTTCGTAAGACAAGAAAACATTATGTAGCGAACCTATTTCATATAAGCAATAAACAAGTATTATTGAGACGATTATGTCAACCAAGGGAAGTTTAAATATAAATCGACAATTTTCAAAATCCCAATAGAAATGATTTACTGTGTATTGTTGTCAGCACTCTTCTCCGCTGGAGGTGCATAACCTATTGGTGTAACCTTAACAAAATGGACGGAACAGAGATCATGTCGAAGTAATTTTAGTGTAAATCTCTCTTGATCGAACCCATTTAGTACTTTCGGCAAACTTTCATATCTAAAAAAACATCAGCGATATGATAAATCTATAATGCGAGTTAAAAAATATCATCATCAGACCGGTGTTTGAGTTCGCTAAGTATCATCAACACTGATACCTGTCGTAAGCGCAGTCGGTACCGGTAGACACAGTGGAGTCGACGTCACTGTCGATGAGCCATGTGAAGCGTTTGTCTGTGTAGAGACGGTTATGGTCGTGGCTTGTCTGAGATAGGTAATGACAGTCAGCATTCAGGTCCCCAGCTATAAGCGCGTTCTGGGAAGATACAAAAAATACTGACAACATTCGGAAATCCGGATAGTTATCGAATTATCTGGGTCAGATATCATTGCCTATATCACACAGAGGTGAAGTTTGATATTTCCCCTGATTTTTACCTGATTCCCCATGAAATTGGCGATGTTGTCGTAAGCAGATACCATGTGTTCCAACTCAGCGGGGGTGTTTGTTGGCTGTGTATGGAGCACGATGTACACAAAGTTGGCAGGGCCTGAAGAAAGAAGATGTAGTGAGCCAAGAAACATGGTTGACAACCAGTAGTAGAAGTTGTCATCAGGATAAGGTCATGTGGAAATGTGTGTGTGGAGTGGATGACTATGGTGATTGTGAGTGTGTATGTCAGCTCTCAATGATTGATTATGATATGAACTATTGAATGTACTACACACCAATGGCAGACAGCCAGAGAACATGGTGGTCAACAGGTCTTAGTGGCTGTTGTCATGATAAAGACACGTGGAAATGTGTTTGTGGAATAAATGAATGTTTGTGCGCGTGTGTTATATCGGTTCTTGATGTTTTATTATAATATAACTTATTCAATGTATTATTATTTAATTACTACTCATAAATCTTCGATCTGACCTGGAGATTTGGTTCTTTGTTATATCAACGGTACTTTTATCGACATCTTGTTGGAAGATATGGTTTGTCGTGAACGTAACACTCACGTGAGTCGAGAGAATGGAACATGACAGCATATGGTTCTCGTGCAAATACGTCATCCTGATCCGGGAACTGATATACCTCTTGTACAAACACGTTATTTATTCTGTCGTTAAAACACAATTATGACTTACTACACCAAAATACAAACAATCAATCATTCGGAATTATTCAAATTAATTCGAGAGATCTGAATAATTGGCACAACACAAGTTCGGATCCCGTCGATGTGACGTAGTGATAATACTAGTGTGTACCTACCGGAAGAGGATGGCATACGATTCCGTGTAATGTACGCTATGCCCCAGCTTCTTACTCAACACTACGCCGTACGGGTTATCCCGATTATCCCTAGGCGACAGATAGAAGATAGTAAAAATCATTATCTATCGCATTTATCTATGAAAATCTCGAATTATATCTCGAATATCAATGACCTTCTTACATTGAATTTTCTCTTGATGTTGACATCTTATAAACGCTTGGAAACACATGAAGTATTTTTAGTCTTACATTCTATCCGGAAAATCCCATGTTCGAAGGACTTATATATCTTCGTTACCGGAAGTATTATAATTCATACAGTGCTTGAGAAATTTCTATATGTAGCTACTATGACCTTGACCTTGACCTTCGAATCACGAATTCATCCGAGTTAGTTTTGTAGTCGACCTCTGAATAAAGTTCTATCTATGGAAATTTTGCAAGAAATAAAGTTGCTTTAGTGATACCAATGCTACCGGCATCGTCTCCGACATCTTTGATATTTAATGGTGTAAATGCAGGTATGGGATTGTCTGCGTATCTTCTTGAGACCAGAATTTCAGATAAAACTTTGGTAATAAGGTGACTTACATGTTGAGATTCTGCATCAGCATGTGGATGGAATTGTCTGCTCTCACCTCGAGAATGGAGATTATATCATATCTCTCGATAACCTATAGCAGATTTACAGCATTTTTATTTCATGTCCAGTCCATGGTCTGGAATTTCAAAAATAGGTTAAGATTGTGTTTGGTTATGGTATAGTATTGAAATATCATTATGATTTTAGATTGAGGATAAGTGTAATATGTAACAGAAACATATTTGGATATCATTCTTTTCTACAATTTAGTTTAAGTTAGCGATATATACCATGGATTATACAGCATAGTTCAGCTGTTAAGCCTTTCTAAGACTCTTCAGTGATGATGGAGACTTAAAATTTATAACGCTTGTATTCCCATATTTCTAAATATCCAAGGGTTGCTTACCAAAAACTGGAAAAAGGTGAAAATTAATGTTGAAGCAAAATGACAGATTTTTACTTCAGTTTCATTAAAAATTCCTGGGAGTTAAGGGGGGTTAAAGAATGAAAAATCCAGGAGACGAGCAAGAAATTGACAAACCGTTCTAAACAAGTATTATGTAAAATATAGGAAGGGGGTGTATTTACCCTGTTTATTTAATGATGTTCTATTATGTATCTCTAAGAGATGAATTTGAGGTAACGACGACGCAAAGTCACTTCTGAGGGAATGTCATGTCTTGTGACTTGTAGATATGATCAATGTAAAATGCGAAACGTTTTCAACGCAATATGATGCTGTTCTCACGTGCCTTTTTGATGATAGTCATTGTTTCGTTGTTGGACAGTTTGTTGACACTGAGCCATTTGATGTTGAAGGAGGCGATTTTCAGGTTACACAGTCCCACGGTAGCTATGGAGAGCAAGAGGACAAGCCGGAAGTACATCGTCATCTGCTTCATCTGAAAAACATTGATAATATCGATCATCATCCTTAACAGAAAACCAACCCATCGTGAACCTTGTTGGTGTCAAGTAGGGAAAGCAGGGATACCATCACAGTCCTTCCACCTACCAACTAAGTTGTGTGATCTTCAATCCGGGACTTGACCCTGACGCCTTGTGACGTCATGTGTGGAATTCAGTGACTTCAACAACTTTATTTCGGACTTTGTCAGTTTTCCTCTTCATACACAAATTTGGCGCTAAAATAATCTTAAAAGTTTTAGGATATCGAGGAGCTACGCCAATGAAGATATTCATGGATACCGTAGAGCATGGCCAAAATCGTGTGCAGGTTAATCAATAAGTTCGGCATTCTAAAAAAACTCACCAGTTTATTTTTTCTGATCCAGATGTCGAATTTTACACTTCGATTGAATATAAATATATGGATGTGCTTGCAGATAAGGCGTTCTACTTCCTTGTTCGCAATGCAGATGTCGCGTGCAAAAACATATCTAGATCAAGATAACCCAGGTTTATCTGACCATTGATGAGTTTTTCGAAAAGAACAAAGATAGTTCCGTCAACAGAAGCTCAATTCAAATCCTAAATCGATTATACATTTTATTAACCCAGGCAAAATATGAAAAAAATCACTTGGAAACCCGCGAAAATTGTATGAGGAGAATAAGACCATGTGTTTCAGAAGACGACGACGACGACACCCGATATTTTATCGAGCCCAATTCAAGAAATTACGTCACGTTGTCAAACGAGAATAAGGTATTCAACAACGCAACCAGTGCAGAATCAAACGCGTATAGCTTCATATCGCGCACGGATATAGACTTTTTCTAAATGAATTCACAATGACGACCGTATGCTTTTGATCGTTCTTAAACATCCGCTCCTCCCTTGAAGTGTCTTTTGGATATGCGATATTGAACAACTTTCTGCACACCACCTAATCTAACGAGAAGTATGAATTCTGTGTTTCTGAATTACGTTCTGTCAAGGATTAAACAGAAGTATATGAATAATTGATCATAATATTTGAGTAAAGCATATGGAAGATATGATAAAGACTGTACGGAGTGAATTATCAGTATCTCATGTAAGCATAGTAAAAAGAAATTGGCTAACAGCAGAGAACGCTTCCTGTCCCTAGACAGTATTGAGATCCGAGTGTAAGACAACTGCGGTATTGATCAAATATACAAGGGAATATTCAAGAACTACACACCCCTTTCCTAGCAGCACCTATCATCAAAACTCATTTTATCTTTAAACTTTCCAGAATTATATGTGCTTTAAATATCATTTTTCCAATACATGATAATATCTTCGTTTCTTTTGTATGTGTAAAATTTATCTTCCCTGTATTATAGCTGATCATTAAACACTGTATAGAGTAATTTTTCAGTCGATCTTTACGTATAAAATTCAGGTGACTTCGAGGTATATTGTTTAATGTATCGTGGACAACATTACCACCCTGGGAATTCAAATGCAATTTGGTTGATAACATTATAAATTGTCAGCTAACACTATAGCAATGCACCCGAAGGATCTGTATATATACAGGTAGATATTTGTACAACAAATGGAAATTGGACTTACACTTACCGGCGTATGTGCGCTCGAAATGCTTGGAAAGTGTATCTCTACAGTGAGCCAATGCGCAAGACCAGACTGTAACACCAGACTCGGATTGGTGACTGATAAAAGGAATTTAAAAATCACAATGTCCCTTATCTTACTGTAACAAGGAACTGAGATATAATTACACAACAATGTGACACAAGGGTATTTTTCTCAAGGTTCATTATACAAAACAAGTATATTTATAAAAAAAAAAGCCTTTAAATATGGTCCCATTTAAATATCCATGGTGTCCGTTTTTTTTATCTTCCTCCTGGCTTCATATCAACTGTAAACCACATTTGGTAACATATTCTTTTAACCATATTTCCGTTCTCAAATATCTCTAAAAACAATAGAAAGAAATCAGGATTACATCGTTTAAACCGCTTAACCTAATGCTGACGTCAGCCAGTAGTATAGTTCCGCGTTTTATCATAAATAACAATTGTATGAAATAGTTAAGTCACAAATTAAAATTTATTATTAATATAAAATTGTAAACTATGGAAAGAAAGACAGTGCCAAAGACACCATTTAATGGCACTGTTTAAAACATATTTAAATAAGATATGGTAAGACAGGACAAGACAATGAATTAAACTGCATTATACAGCTAATATGATGTAGCATGGTGTTAAAAATTCGGCATTCGGCCACTAGGAGGAAGTAACGAAAACAATCTGCCACCGTTGGACCGTTCGACCTAGCGACCCTTCGGTCTGTAGGCTGTAATGTTGAACCAAAGGTAAATTCCCTGCATTCTCAACTTCTCTCTACACTACTTCCTCCTTCACAAAGTCTCCGACCTCGATGACAACAACAACCCAAGCTTAATATCTCCAAGGAAGCATCTCAATATCCTGTAGCTTCTACCTTTGGAATGGTAAATGGTACGATATTTGATATTTAAAGGATTATTGAAAAATACCTTGCCACCGAAATAACGACCCTGTGCTCTGTAGCCGGACACTCTACTAAAGAGACATTCCCACTATCCTATGCTTGTAAGGTGACCTGTACACTCATTATCTTCACTTAATAGCAAGCGAGTGACTATCCATTTCAGAGAGTTTCAAACATGCAGTAATCTATTTTTCTTATCCTTACAGCTAGTACAGAGAATGTCTGTATGAAGTCATACCAATTTTTTCATTCCCTCAATCATATGTAATTGAGTGTAATTTTTAAGAAAATCACATTGAATTCAGAAAACCGTCTGTGTCCATACTTTTCTCAATGTGAATAGAACTTGGCTTTACTGCAGATGACAGAACGTTGTACGTCATTCTTAGTAGAAAATGGTGTCGTGAGTGATGAATATTTCGAAGATTGTACAAACGACACACAAATGAATAGTACTTTTTGATACAAATTTACAGTAGAGCCATACAGTTAATCAAACTGTATCATACAGCTGTTTCGTCCTTCTAGGACTCGTCAGTGATGCTACACCAAACAGCTGTTTCGTCCTTCTAGGACTCGTCAGTGATGCTACATCATACAACAGTTTCGTCATTCTAGGACTCGTCAGTGATGCTACATCATACAACTGTTTCGTCCTTCTAGGACTCGTCAGTGATGCTACATCATACAGCTTTTTTGTCCTTCTAGGACTCGTCAGTGATGCTAAATCATACAACTGTTTCGTCCTTCTAGGACTCGTCAGTGATGCTACATCATACAGCTGTTTTGTCCTTCTAGGACTCGTCAGTGATGCTACACCAAACAGCTGTTTTGTCCTTCTAGGACTCGTCAGTGATGCTACATCATACAGCTGTTTCGTCCTTCTAGGACTCGTCAGTGATGCTACACCAAACAGCTGTTTCGTCCTTCTAGGACTCGTCAGTGATGCTAAATCATACAACTGTTTCGTCCTTCTAGGACTCGTCAGTGATGCTACACCAAACAGCTGTTTCGTCCTTCTAGGACTCGTCAGTGATGCTACATCATACAGCTGTTTTGTCCTTCTAGGACTCGTCAGTGATGCTACACCAAACAGCTGTTTTGTCCTTCTAGGACTCGTCAGTGATGCTACATCATACAGCTGTTTCGTCCTTCTAGGACTCGTCAGTGATGCTACACCAAACAGCTGTTTCGTCCTTCTAGGACTCGTCAGTGATGCTAAATCATACAACTGTTTCGTCCTTCTAAGACTCGTCAGTGATGCTACACCAAACAGCTGTTTTGTCCTTCTAGGACTCGTCAGTGATGCTACACCAAACAGCTGTTTTGTCCTTCTAGGACTCGTCAGTGATGCTACATCATACAACTGTTTCGTCCTTCTAGGAGTCGTCAGTGATGCTACATCATACAGCTGTTTCGTCCCTCTAGGAGTCGTCAGTGATGCTACATCATACAGCTGTTTCGTCCCTCTACCACTCGTCAGTGATGCTACATCATACAACTGTTTCGTCCTTCTAGGAGTCGTCAGTGATGCTACATCATACAGCTGTTTCGTCCCTCTACCACTCGTCAGTGATGCTAAGGGCGTACATTTTGAAGCCTAAGAGGCAAGTTAGGAAAATGCAAAGAAATTTAAAGATAGCTTTGTGGAAAGCATGACTGAGAGACAGACTGCATCATTTTGACACGTTAACTTTTGAAACAACAGCTTATCCCCGGGGCGTTCGGTTTGTTGCTCAAATGTATGAACATGTGTCTTGCTGAAAGAAGTAAATTTTGCGGAAAAACCCAAAGACTTGGAGTCATGTGGTCAGGTGTCTGCTGGTAATGAGGTAATATATTCGGTTTCTATAATTAAATATTCATGTAACTGTAGAACAACAAAATGATTTGATCTATATAAAATAAATGACATATGTAAATAGGGCTGAACATGTAGGTAATGCGAATCGGATAAACAACACAGAATTTGATGACGATGCACACATTTTAATGACATCACGCAGCTTGTCTCGCCACAAGATATAGTACAAAACCAAAAAGGCACTCAATCACGTGCAGGGCACGATTTACAAACACACAATAATATTCATCACAATAATTCACAATATCACATTTCATTCATAAATTGCATTGTATACACTAGTAGTTAGACGTTATTGAAAACAGTTCTAAAAGCCACATATGTCGAATTCTGTCCTTTTTGCAAACTAAAATTGTTTTACCTACATTAATGTTGGAAATTCCTACGCGTTTCTAACAGGGGCATCAATACCAAAATACAAGGATACTATCTTATAAAATTGTACTAGAACGAGATATGACGATAAGAATCTTATTCAGTACATCTTTGTATTTAATAGTCAATGCACTACAGACAATTTAATCAAGGAACAAATTTACATTTATATACAAAAATTACACCATGAAGAATAAGCCACTGATTCCCCAATACCTTGCCATACGTATCTCTACTCTCGTCCAATGCACGTTTGGTTCACGAGACTTTGTATCGGTTACCGAAACACAAGTAGCCGTAAACCACTAGATCAAAGTTTTGTCCCAGAAGAAAAAAAACTGATAATATTCAGCAAGAACAACTAGATACTGTTCTGATTCGCAAGTAATATACCATATCCCACAGGGACTCGGCTTGGAAGCCTACTCTCACTGTCCGTTTACTAATAATACATAAATTTGGACCATAGAGTTGGACATTCGTGCCAGGTCCCTGTGGGATCGTGGTGCTAAAGTATTTCAACATCTTCGGTCCCACATGAAAATCACACTATCGTTTTTCACTTGGGGTCGAGGATGCGGGAAAAAGACAATGTTTGGAAGACATGATACAATGGCTAACCGACCCATTAGTGGTAGTCTACGGCGTTGTCTCCCCTTATACGCAACAACTCGTTAATTATCAAATAATCACTGCAGTGTTACATGTGTCAATAAATATGTTTAAAAAGTGTCATATACTGATTTACAATGCAGTATTACAGTTTACAGAACTCTTTTGTAACTGTAAGTAGTACAACATGGAACATTCCGCCTTAAATCGGTTTCCATACTACAAGAATACTCTCACCCACCTAAATTTAGTTAGGAATTAAATAATGTGTATGGAAGTTCCAAATTGAAAAATATCACTAAAATATTTATGTATCCTGCACGTTATGGGTTTTTTTCTGAAATAGTTATTAAAAGCCAAGGGTCGAGATAAAAGTGTCATCATTTTGTAACACAATATTGTAGAAAATAGCGTCATCAACAAAAAAGCATGATGTAATTTTCTGCCTCATTTCAAAGTACGTATATGTATTTTCTTATTGATCTTTCGATACTACTCCGTTGTGTACTTACAAGGTACAAGGTACATTCGCAGGGCGCAATGTACTCTTGTGACTGTTCGATGTTCCTCAAGGGTATTTACACATCCGGTGTCCCTCGTGTGTTTACATTAACAGTCATATAAATATTTAGGGCCTTTTGTTCGGCATGCACCCTTATGAAATCTTTCTCATTGTGTCACTCTGTTACGTTTAGGACCGACTTCGACTTCGGTACTCTTCTATCGCTGACTACACAAAGTTCTTCGTAGATAACTACAGGAGACTTCTGTTCGATACCCCTCCAGGTTTTCTATATTTCTGTACACGTGTCCACTTTTCATCAATCACAATAAAAATCGTCCTGTATCCGTCGACACAAACAAACAGAAAATACCATCCCCAGTATCTGTAAAAGATAAACACTAGGATTGTCACAGGTGGATCTCAACTTGCGAACAGATGAAAGAAATTTATGAAATTTATTGAAACAATGCCAAAATGATAGATCGTTCAAATGTTAAAATAAAAAAAAACTATTAAAGCATGATGCAATCGAAATATGTATGCACAGTAGTCATTATATTCTTTTTCAATGTATTTTGCTGTATATGCTATGTATACTGAAATATGTAGCTGTCTATCACTTATATATACCTACCATAACAAACGCTATTCCCGAAAGCACCCCCAGCAAGATTTTTATATTTTCCGATAAAAACCCTTCCAGCTGTGTGTAACATCCCTGAAAATAAATAAATAATAGATAAACAATAAATAAATAAATAAAGTAAATAATAAATAAATACATAAAAAATAAATCACTATACACAACTCAATGTGCTGTATTATGACATCAATTTTGTCTCGACCTAAACAATGACAATGTTGAGCTGAACTGCATATAGAATTATTGAGTACAAGTAGGTATTGGGTTATTTTTCTATGGAAATATTCAGTTACACTTTTAAGAATGAGTAAAACAACGGACAGACAGAGTCAAACTACCGGGAAAAGTGAACAAAAAATACGAAAACTATGCCAACAAACACTAGCTATGTAAAAGGCTAAGAGTGGATCCGCAACATTTTCACTCATTGACCTGGAAGGAAAGCGAATGTCGGCAATCATATGATTAAATAACCGAGCTATTTTAACTGCTGTTTGGATGACTTTCTGATACTGTCGGGTTTCAGGCATGTCTACATCTCATTGTCACGGACTTCAGCAGAGTGTAAAGGTTACACATCAAGTACACTTTTTTCTGCAGATCGCCGGCCAACAGAATGGAAACACAGACAACCAGATATATTGAATGTTCATTCAGAGCAAAATGAAAGCGAAAAAATAAGGTCTATTTCCGTAAATTGCTTCACACGTTTTTTATATTAGTTGAATTATGGACGCTTGTAATACACTGCTATTTCGATTGATGCAATCACTGTACAACTAATGCTTAGCTGGAAGATGGTGTCAGAATAATGAAATTTTTTGGTTTTTACTTTAAGTTAAATTGGGAACACTTGTAATACACTCATATACCGACTGATTCAATCCGTCCATGCACCATGATGACCTGCAAGATGGCGTAGCAATTACGTCTATGTAAATAGTGACATTATGGAATAGTATAAACACCTAGTCTATTTTATATCGTCATCTTCCATATTGACACTGACAACCGTCAACTTCCTCAAAGTCGTTGTGTTTCCGCCATCTTATGTATGTATGTCACTTATAAAGCAACAGTTTTATAAGGTTCCACGTCATGATTTTAATGACGTCATCTCTGGGACATCACATGATCTACCCCTGTAATCCTACATTGACTTTGGTGCTTCCCCGACTTCCATTATGACTATATCGCAAATATATTACAATTCTTTCACTTCTTTTTTCAGAACCAAACTAAACGTTAATATTATTCAATATCGAATGATTAAAAGTACAGATGGTACACGGTAACATATTAGAGGTGGCCAAAAGTAGACATATTACACTGTGCATATCGGTAGAACAGAGTGCCTGTCGCCCTCAGAGAGAATGTCTAACGTGTAACATTGTTCTGGCGTCATGACTGACATACCTCTCTCTGTACAAACCACGAGTCTGTACTTTTAATGGTAAGTTTTTCTTGTGTGAGATACCTTTTCAAACATTTGGTTGTTGTTCTTCTCCGGAGGGACAGGTGGTCCATATGCCGGGGCGATATTGCGGAGGGCTTGGCCTATACACATGGTCCTGTTAGGGGTACTGGTTGGGTCAGCACAACAACTGTCCGGCACGTACTTGATTGGAGCTGTCAATCAGATTTATCATCATCTTTTATACTAGCAGAAGTTAAATCGGATATTTACGTTTTTGTATCACTGTTTTAAGTTTAAACGTGGTTTAGCCAAAAATAAGAATTGGATTAGGCTATGGAGTCAATATAAGATATAGGCCAGGGATGGGGATGATGACGGGAATGGGGAGAGGTCAGGGGTCGGGGATGAGGTTGGGTAGGGATGAGGATGGAGATGAATCGGGTCATCGGGATACTGATGGTGATGATGATGGGTCGGGTGATGGGTGGGGGACGGGGATGGGTCGGGGTTGGTTGATTGGAGTAGTCAGCGGTAGGGATTGGTGAATCAGACATTGATAACGACATTATCACCTATCTGGCTTGTGTCGTAAGACATCCGAGTATTATTGTGACGTCATTATTAATGTTAGTCTACCTTAGAACTTAATAGGAACACGGATTTAGAGTTTTCAAACAGTTTCTAAAGAATGTCGGTTAAATAGACACGTGTATCTATGCCATCATGGTCCAATAATTTGATATGACGGTTTCCTTAAACTTATTTTGCTATTACATAATGTTAAACAGTTCCCGTGGTCTTGACTTTTGACCTTGGTTTGCGACGTTGACCTTATAACTTCGATTCACTGATGGTCTTGTGAGTCGTGAAACGACAATTTTTTTTATATATATATCATTACAAAGTATAAAAGATAAAATTAGCTGGTTTGACTGCGGTTATATTTCATCATCCGTCATTTAACTTAATAATAACACAGCCAAGAAAAACAGATTGAAAGAGAGTTTTGTTTCCGATAACATTTACTTCCTGCTGCCAAAAAGATAATTTATCACACTTTCTTCATAATCTCACATCATAAACATTTAACAGTCTAGGGATAAAAAAAAACATATTTTTATTTGATCTGCACCTCCGGCAAGGCCACTTAGTCTGTTTTAAATACACTACACACTGTTGATTGAAGACACACAATGGTCATTATCTATACAGCGTCATCAAGATATCTGTGGCGGTTTTAACAAAATCTTACATCAGAAGGAAAGATATAATCAACTCATATCAGAATATTATGTATGTAGCAAGAATACAAGATTAATTGATTTATCAAAGACTGATGTGAACGATCAGATAACGGACGATATATACAGTATACTTAGCTTTCCATCAAGTCATCAAGTCATGTCGTACCATCTACCCACGCCAGAGATCTGATGGGCTATTAGAGTTCAGATTTCAAAATTCAGATATAGCTAAACATGCTTCAGAGATATACCTGTCTGGTTAAGGAACCACGCCGAGTGCTTCTTGTAAAAGGCCCAGGAACTGGTGGAGTTCACGTCTCCTTCCACTCCACAACATTTAAACTGTTACAAAAATTATGCATATTTATGTCACAGATACATTTGTTCCATATACGCACAAACGAATCCGAAAAAAAAAAAAAATCATGATGAAAACTTTCATTGACCTTGAATTGAAAAAGATAGCATGCGCTGCTTTATAAAGGACTGGTCTACCTGACCTTGAACTTATCCCATGTCTCAGAGCTTTTTACGGTTTCCTGTGACCCAGAATAGCTAAATGTTATAATTGATTGATATATCTAAGTTCCTATTACCGTGCCCTTACTTAAATACAATAAGTCTTGATTCCTGTGATACTCATCTACACAAAGCGTACGAGTCTGTAACCTTGACATTAGATTTTGTACTAATAATCTGCGTGATCTTGACATTGAACAGAGTACTTACGATCTGTTGCATGGAGTCCCATGCCTCAGTGACCTGGGGTTCGAACCCGTAGTCGTTGTACAGTGACCCACGCAGGTGCTCTAAAGTGTACTTTTCTATCTGAAGTAAAAGATATAAACACATTGTATAACAACAAGTTTAAACGTTAGTCTCTAGTTTCCGGATTTCTTCTCAGAACATGTCAATGAATCATTGTTAAAAGTTGATAGAACTTCAAAGGAGGTCCATCCAACTGTTTCATAAACAGTAAACATAGATTTGCATAAATGTATACCATTGGATTTTGAACTTGAAGTTTATGTGATACATGGCATTATGACCTTCTCTTGAGACTTGACCTTGATATCCAAGTGGTATATAACATGATATTGCCTGTTCTTATCGATAATAAATCCATTCTGTTAAGTAGACATATATCTAAACCTCATAAAGAACACAATAGTGGAAAACAGTCTAGAACAGTTTTCATCAGCAAACGTAATGTTTGGTCCTAACGTAGTGTTTGTTTTCAAGCTGAAAACCCAGCAAGTGTTCCATAGAGGTGAATGTTCCGGTGTTCAAACATTCTAACGCTCAAACAATCTATTGTAGCAAACTAGTGTTCAACGTCAGCCTTTTTAAATGTCACATGGATTCACGTACCTTTGCCCGGAATGCATACACCAGTACTGCGCTCACCACGAAACCGACGAACATCACAAACAGCAACACGAAAAACTGTAACAGAAATATGAAAAGTTGACGGTAAAGGTGGTGTGTTATGAACATCACAAACAGCAACACGAAAAACTGTAACAGAAATATGAAAAGTTGACGGTAAAGGTGGGGTGTCATGAACATCACAAACAGCAACACGAAAAACTGTAACAGAAATATGAAAAGTTGACGGTAAAGGTGGGGTGCCAATTTGGCCATCATGGAGATTCTTGGTGATAAATTAATGTTTGTGCTGGAAAGTTCGAACAAACGTGATATTGGAGTGTAAAGTCTATTATTTGTGTTTTCTGCTCAGCAAATACTTTTTTCAGTCGTATATACAATACATTCAATACATAATAAGTATACTACCAAAATTGAATTATTGCTCACTTATATAAAATCCGTCTACAGTAATATACATAATTTGAATTAGGCATGATGGAAGAGTAACTGTTAAGCAAATTAAAGTATTTTTGTTGTCAGCATGATAAAATAAGCTTATCAATCAGTGGTCTCAGATTGATCCAAATTCCTCCCCCACCCCCATCCCCCTCCCCCACTCCCACCCCCACCCCCTCCCCCACTCCCACCCCCCACCTCCTAATGGAAAGGTCTGTTACTTATTTACTCTATACGCTATACAGTTACCATAATTATCGAAAAACTCAATTTTACATTTTGTTGATTATAAGATAGGAATGAAGAATGCAACTTGATTGATTTCTCAGTCAATTCCCAAACTACCTTAATACCATCAATTGTTGGTGAGTAATGATATATAAATAGAATCGTTTATATCCTTCGTCTACATAGCGTGAGGTTAGAAAACCCAGAATTTTCTCAAGTGATTAATCGTCTTAGCACAGATAACCTGGGACCAGACTAACTTCTTTAGCCGACATAAAGGTCAGACAGCGGAAAGCCTTTAATTGTTTACCGCGACAGACTCTGAAACGATAGCGAGGCTGTCACTTATATGTAGTGAAGTCATATTGACGCAGTGGACTGCCAACGAAAAGTTTACATTGATAGATTAAAAATGATAGCGAGGCTGTCACTTACATGTAGTGACGTCATATTGACGCAGAGGACTGCCAACGGAAAGTTTAAAGTAACATATTAAACATGATAGCGAGGCTGTCACTTATATGCAGTGACGTCATATTGACGCAGTGGACTGCCAACGGAAAGTTTAAAGTAACATATTAAACATGATAGCGAGGCTGTCACTAACATGTAATGACGTCCCATTGACGCAGAGGACTGCTAACGAAAAGTTTTCATTGACAGATTTATCATGATAGTGAGGCTGTCAAAACCATGCAGTGACGTCATATTGACGCAAAGGACTGCAAACGAAAAGTTTACATTGGCAGATTAAAAATGAAAGCGAGGCTGTCATAAATATGTAGTGACGTCACATTGACGCAGAGGACTGCTAACGAAAAGTTTTCATTGACAGATTTAACATGATATTGAGGCTGTCACAAACATGTAGTGACATCATTCTGACGCAGAAGTTTGCCAACGGAAAGTTGAAAGTAACATATTAAACATGACAGCGAGGCTGTCACTAACATGTAGTGTCGTCATTTTGATGTAGACGGCTAGTTTATAAAAGGGAGATACCGAGGCTGGCACTAAAAGAGGTTAGCTGACAGTGACGTCATATTGACATAGAGGAATGCAAAGAAATCATACATAGAATGGATGGGAAATGACAGCGAGCCTGTCACTTAAAGGAACTTACAGCCATGTCATACTCACAGTTACTAGCATGCAGCGAATTTCCTTGATGGCACCACAACAGCCAAGGAAAGAGAGAAGGATGACGATGGCTCCGGCGATGATGAGGAGAAGGGAAAGGGTGACGACGAGATTACCGCCAAGAACAGATGATACACGTGTTATTCCAACATGATTGGTCTTTGTGTAGATACCAAACCCTACTAAGCAACAACCCGCTATCTGTAACAAAAAAAAAAAACATCTATGTTTACAATACTGCATGTTTCTGTCAATCCTCAAAAATAGCTGGTAATTATTTCGGTAGAAGGATGAAAGTCAGGAATTTTCATACCGATCTCCCTTGAAGACTGCAGTTGTTCAAGAATCGCTTTCAACCTCGCGCTAACCCTATCGACATAGGTATATGTGTAGAATCTTTCAACATTTTGACATCGTGTCAACTCCACATAATGGTGAATTAAAAATAATACTCAATAACACAGGTACACATGATCTATGTCAAAGAGCTCGTGATGTTGTTGAAATTGTTATTACTATGGAGAAGTAAAAACTCAAACAATTCTATCGCGAGCATAGCTCGAGCAGACCCACGGGGCCGCTTAAGGCCTAAGGATAACACGCGAAAAAAAAAATGAAAAATTTCACACATACTATCAGTCATGAAGATGTTATGTTATGCGCCAATGGCGGATAGCAACATGGTGGACATAGCAACACTGCGGACATAGTAACAAATAATTTCGATCACCAAGACTCTTCATCATGTGTGCATACAACAAGAGTTTGACTGAACAAGTTTACGCGATTAGTATATGTAAACAGAGATAATCCGAAAGGATAAACGATATACAATAAAACACAATGGACTAGCCAGAAACACGATGGACTAGCTAGAAATACAATGGACTAGCCAGAAACACAATGGACTAGCCAGAAACACAATGGACTAGCCAGAAATACAATGGACTAGCCAGAAATACTAGCCAGAAATACGATGGACTAGCCAGAAACACAATGGACTAGCCAGAACCACAATGGACTAGCCAGAAATGCAATGGACTAGCTAGAAACACGATGGACTAGCCAGAAATACGATGGACTAGCCAGAAATACAATGGACTAGCCAGAAACACAATGGACTAGCCAGAACCACAATGGACTAGCCAGAACCACCATGGACTAGCCAGAAACACAATGGACTAGCCAGAAATACAATGGACTAGCCAGAACCACAATGGACTAGCCAGAACCACAATGGACTAGCCAGAAATACAATGGACTAGCCAGAACCACAATGGACTAGCCAGAAATACAATGGACTAGCCAGAACCACACTGGACTAGCTAGAAATACAATGGACTAGCCATAAATACAATGGACTAGCCAGAACCACACTGGACTAGCCAGAAATACAATGGACTAGCCAGAACCACAATGGACTAGCCAGAAATACAATGGACTAGCCAGAACCACACTGGACTAGCTAGAAATACAATGGACTAGCCAGAAATACAATGGACTAGCCAGAACCACAATGGACTAGCCAGAAATACAATGGACTAGCCAGAAATACAATGGACTAGCCAGAACCACAATGGACTAGCCAGAACCACAATGGACTAGGCAGAAATACAATGGACTAGCCAGAACCACACTGGACTAGCTAGAAATACAATGGACTAGCCAGAAATACAATGGACTAGCCAGAAACACAATGGACTAGCCAGAACCACAATGGACTAGCCAGAAACACAATGGACTAGCCAGAAATACAATGGACTAGCCAGAACCACAATGGACTAGCCAGAAACACAATGGACTAGCCAGAAATACAATGGACTAGCCAGAACCACAATGGACTAGCCAGAAACACAATGGACTAGCCAGAAACACAATGGACTAGCCAGAAATACAATGGACTAGCCAGAACCACAATGGACTAGCCAGAAACACAATGGACTAGCCAGAAATACAATGGACTAGCCAGAACCACAATGGACTAGCCAGAAACACAATGGACTAGCCAGAAATACAATGGACTAGCCAGAAACACAATGGACTAGCCAGAACCACAATGGACTAGCCAGAAACACAATGGACTAGCCAGAACCACAATGGACTAGCCAGAAATACAATGGACTAGCCAGAAATACAATAAATAGAATATTAAAGGAAGGATGATTTCCTTAAACTTAAGGTGTAATTATTATTGTCGCAAAATGAAAGATATAAGTAGGAATACTACGCTCGCTCCAAATGGCTTTGCCGGTTTTTGTACTAGTTACTGATGGGAACAGTTACCAAGGTATCCTTTGTAACACGTATCACAAACAAATTTACAAAACGCGTTACAAAGTTTATGTAAGTTGTGTCAAATACTTACCACGATGACGATGTTAAACAGAAACATGGAATACTTCAGAAACTTCCCACAACCGTCCACCGCCATGATTTCAAAGGATGCTGGGAAATAATAAAAAAAAAGATAAACCATACATTGAGGCTAGGAAACCACAGTGTTCAAGATAAGGAAGGTATCTGGCAAAGCGACAGCACACTACAAAACTTTAAGATTACGCTTAGTGAATTTGTTGAAATAGCAGGATAGCAAATATAAAATAGGGTTTATAATATTAGAAGTTCAATGACCTCATACAAAGATGAGTCTTCCCAGATACGTACAGGGCTGGCGCCTTTTTGTGACTCCAAGCCAACTTGCGAGGCCAATTTGCTGCTAAGAGATTTCTTAAAAGATACTTTGTATATGTATGTTTCCAGCTCTAGGCGTAAGTATCCAAACAATATCTTAATAAAACGAGTTTCCATCGGAAAACAGCATTATCTCATTTTCTCAGTCGAACTCGTAAAATGGGTTTATTACAAGGTATAAATAAGCCCCATGCAGGTGCCTTACACGTGTATAACATGCACGTGACTTTACCATTAGCAAAAGGATGCGATAGAGCAACTCAAACGTTTTGGTGGACATCGAATACTGTTGTGTATCAGTAGTGAAGATTACACACAGAACGTACAGGAGACAAACATGTACATATCGAATGTAAGAAATTAACAACACTATTCCAACACAGTTGTGAGACAAACGTTACCAATTGTAGTGTATCTGACGTATATCTTACAATATTGAATGTTGTAGGAAAGCGTATTTATATCTAGCAATATATTATGTATTTTACAATGCATTGTGATTTGAAACGGCAATATTTTCAGGAATTTTACTTAAAATGGGTTTAGCTTGCCTGTTGTGATACAACTTTACAAATTGCAGAATTGTCTATAAACATCGCGTTTCATTATTAGTAGAACTTTTTGATTGTTTTTCTTCTACAATTCTAAATAACGGTTTTTTTCGCAATAAATATGTTCTGTCATTGTCATTGTATTCTATCTACTGCGAAATAAGCCTGTGGTCATGGTTGGTAGATAAAAGGAATCATATTTATTCGACATAAATATGAACGGCCGTTTGTGATCCTGAGTGGACATTAAGTGCTAGGATGAGAGTCCTACAGATGATGAGTCTATGAAACAGGGGTCTATAATATCCTCCTATCCTTATACAGTTTACACACGCACGCGTAGACAAATTATATACATGTTCTTGACACCGTTATGAAATTATCGGTAAATGAAAATTAAGGAATTAATTGAATTTTGGGGTAAGTGCACCTCCCCTCTAGATCTTGATCACTTTGAATTTTCCTCAGTCACCTCATCGGCTTCGAAATTTAGGCCCGTAGCATCACTGACGAGCTCTAGAAGGACGGAAAAGCTGTATGATGTAGCATCATTGACGAGTTCTAGAAGGACGGAAAAGCTGTGTGAAAAGCTGTATGATGTAGCATCACTGACGAGTTCTAGAAGGACGGAAAAGCTGTATGATGTAGCATCACTGACGAGTTCTAGAAGGACAGAAAAGCTGTGTGATGTAGCATCACTGACGAGCTCTAGAAGGACGGAAAAGCTGTATGATGTAGCATCATTGACGAGTTCTAGAAGGACGGAAAAGCTGTATGATGTAGCATCACTGACGAGTTCTAGAAGGACGGAAAAGCTGTATGATGTAGCATCACTGACGGGCTCTAGAAGGACGGAAAAGCTGTATGATGTAGCATCACTGACGAGCTCTAGAAGGACGGAAAAGCTGTATGATGTAGCATCACTGACGAGTTCTAGAAGGACGGAAAAGCTGTATGATGTAGCATCACTGACGAGTTCTAGAAGGACGGAAAAGCTGTATGATGTAGCATCACTGACGGGCTCTAGAAGGACGGAAAAGCTGTATGATGTAGCATCACTGACGGGCTCTAGAAGGACGGAAAAGCTGTATGATGTAACATCACTGACGAGCTCTAGAAGGACGGAAAAGCTGTATGATGTAGCATCACTGACGAGCTCTAGAAGGACGGAAAAGCTGTATGATGTAGCATCACTGACGAGTCCTAGAAGGACAAAACAGCTGTATGATGTAGCATCACTGACGAGTTCTAGAAGGACGGAAAAGCTGTGTGATGTAGCTTCACTGACGAGCTCTAGAAGGACGGAAAAGCTGTATAATGTAGCATCATTGACGAGTTCTAGAAGGACGGAAAAGCTGTATGATGTAGCATCACTGACGGGCTCTAGAAGGACGGAAAAGCTGTATGATGTAGCATCATTGACGAGTTCTAGAAGGACGGAAAAGCTGTATGATGTAGCATCACTGACGGGCTCTAGAAGGACGGAAAAGCTGTATGATGTAGCTTCACTGACGAGTTCTAGAAGGACGGAAAAGCTGTATGATGCAGTTTGATTCGTGGTTTGGCTCTAACTGTATCGGACTCTAAATTTGCATTAAAGATACTATTCACTTGTGTGGTTTTTGCAAAATCTTCATTGGGTTTATTTTTCCTTTTAGACGCTCATTGAATGTGACACATATACCGAAAATTGCTGTCAAATCTGCAGTTCCCATGTTGAAAACACTCGTTTCTTACAATTTCAATCATTGAGAGAAAAAAACACCTTTGCATAATTCTACACTCTTCATTATGAATGTCAGCGGAATACGCCCACACGTGACCCACCTCTCATTGTAACATCAAGTTTGGCGTAATGTACATCATCAGATCTCAAAAGTTCTCTCTTTCTCACGTTTACTCTTTGTCTTTTTATAAACTCGTTGTAGGTAATGAGTTTGTATCATCAATGCTTTGTTGGTGGTGACACACGAGTTCCGATCTGACTTCTGAGTCGAACGAGAGACTAATTAAACAAACCTCGCACGAAATGATACTTAACATCTTCACACAGCATTTAGGTTTCAAACCTGGAGAAAATTAACGCCAGTTACCGAAACCCATGCCTGCCAAATTCTACAGAAGTAGAACGAAGGAAAAGACTGGCACTCGACGGCTGTGTGGTGAACCACATTCCGATCATTACATTTACGTAATTTACGTAATGCTTTGTAAATACAAACTGTATCCAGATGAAATTCCGCTGTATGGAATGCAATTCATACAAACGCTACAAAAATACTCTAGAGGCTTACTTTTTTTCGAAGAAATGTTTGCAAATTCTAAAATAACGAGTGCTTGCATGGTAATAACCACTTCTCAACGAATGGATTTTTGAAGAAGACAACAGGCGCGTTTCAAGAGGTGTATACTAGTAATCAACTCAGACTGGTAGGTAGGTTTATAGACCACAGTTTTCAAGTGACTAGGAGTTTCTGACATTCATCGAGGAGCCGAGATTGAAGCATACGACATTTACGTGTATATGAAAGGTCTCTATCGTTACGGAGAGCGTATAAAGATATGTCGCTGTCGGTTCACATCATGCATGTTAGTCACAGGTCAAACTCTAACCAAATTCGATCGTTATCGTCCTCCTGTTTGTAAAGGTGCCGTGTACAGGAACTTTTTATGTCATCAACGATCAGTTGAAAGTTAATTCTCTTATCGTACACGAAATGACGTGTAATGATCACAATCAACTGGAAAATTACTGTTCTGTGATAACAGCGGAGCAATTTTAAGGATACTTAGCCCGAAAGTCAACTATTAGAATCACGAACATATGTAGTATTTTATCGTATTTTTTATGGCACTGGAAGAGTTGTCGAGTTAAACTTTGGTTTGATATTGAGAAACGCTTGCATGAATAATTCGGTTATACTTCAGAGTTTCGTAAATGAGTGTTGTATAATTTTGAAGTTTATTTAACTTAAGTCCTTATACATGTTTGGACAGTATGGTATACGGCACATCTCGTTTGGACTGTTGTGAAAATAAAAAGTATATCAAAGTCTAACCTACTAAGGCAGGACAAAGTACAGCTTCACCCAGTAACATTGGCAATAGTGCGATAAGCTATAGAAATCGGATAGTATGGTAGTGATATGTAGACTATCTGGAATTACTGGTCATAATAACATCCGAATCTCTTGGACACAGACACCTTAACGGTCCATACTGTAACGAGCGTCAATCTACCGTACCGTATCATCTCTAATCTTCAGACACACTGCTGTACCGTAACTTTTGACATTTATATTTATCTATCAACAGGTTTGTACAGAGAAGTCGGAGTTTCCACTGTGCCAGCAGTGCCCCATGCTAGGGTAACGAGCCATTCATCGGCACCAGTCCTACTGAACGAGATGGCTTCACCAGCCAGCCCAACTGTTATCCAGTGTAAAACTAAAAATAGAATTCGTTTTCATAACATATCGCAACATTTTACCTCGACACAACGCACAGCGTACACATTCTATAACTACTAATGGTACCACGTGTTTAACAATTCTTTCGCGGATGTAAGACATCATTTAATATAAAACCAATTTTAATGTAATATTAGATACTTCTGTGTGTTTTAATATACTTCATTATCTTTATATGTGCATTTAAGCTGAAATACGGAGCATTATATAACATTTTGTAGAAATGTAGCACATGGACTATATTTTGACGCAGTAGTTGACAAGCGTGATTTGGTTAATAACTTCATCAACTCTTGAGTATGACTTTGGTATTCGTGGGCAGTCTGCAGGAAATGATCACAAGTCACAGATTTCAAATTTGTGAATTTTGACTTGATTCACCACTTTCCTGTAGGACTCGCGAACAAGATTTCAGGTTTTTTCTTGATCTGGGAAAAGATATATTTTGGTAAAAATAGTAAAAAAAAAACGCACATCGATTTTCGCATGACAAATATAACCCAATATTCACATTTTCGGACATCTGAATTCGTACCTGTTCCGATAATGGAGTTAAATACTGCCTATCTTGATGAAAGGCGGGTGTGGTCACTAGTGTTTAATCATCCTCAATCATACCCTTTATAAGCGCCTAGCGCCAGGGAGCTGCGGCACAGGTCATGTTGTTTCACGAAGCGCCTAGCGCCAGGGAGCTGCGCCACAGGTCGTGTTGTGCCATGACCCGTTCACACCCGGTGATATGTACCACATATTCATTTTTTTATCTAGTAAAGAATGATAAATTTACTTTCAAACAGAATATATATTAAATGATTTGGCAATGTAAACACTGTACTAGATGAGTATTTCTGGTATTAAGTATATATAACATGCTGTTTATCGACTGCGAGAATCAGATTCTGTGAAGGGTTTGTGCAATAATACCGACAAATAGGATTAGATGAAAGGATTAAGATAGTCAGATGGAATTAAGAATTATAACATGATTCGTAGGTCCCACCCATCCCTTTACCCCTCCATGTGGCCGGGGAGGGGGGGGGGTTGTTTCTACGTCAATGATGGGATTAGCTCCCACATTTTCCAAAACCAGACAACATTCGGACACCCACACCGACTTTTTCACCACGAGAGGGTTGATAAACAAGACACGCTCACAAACTATCGTTGACATTCTGGCGATGAGGAAGAGGGGGTAAGGGTCCCACGCGACATATATGACAAACTGTAATGAAAAAATTCGTAACCAAGAAACCAGATGATGAACTAACTACAACTTGGGAAAGTTTGGCCTTTCGTTTGGGTAAGATACATAATTATACATCGCTTGTAATAATAGATATTCAAAATTTTACGGGTTTGCTCTCTCAAGGCTTTGTACAGTGCAATGCTTACTACTGTACATAAACAATAAACATCCATAGTTAATTTAGTGTTCACTCGTAATCAGATGTTGTCTGGATTTTTTTCTATAAAAGATAACCGCTTTTATACAAAACCAGTCCCTGAAGCTTCGAAATATTCAATGGAACGATGTCAATTTCTCACGGCCTTCTTGCCGCCTGTGTTGATTTCCTTATTACGTAAGTTGGTATGACTGAAACAAACATCTATCTGTGTGCCGGTCTTCTGCTGATACCGAGGGAGATGATCATCCTGAATCCATCTCGAAAGGAGAAGTAGTTTGTTTTCAAGCAAAAATTATTTCTTACGTGTGCGTATAATGAATACTGACAAAATTGAATAACACTTGTTCTCAGCGAAACAATTTACTTGTGAAAGGGCTAGAACAGCAGCGTGCTTTAAACAATAAAAGGAAAATGTTTTGTGAACTTAACTACACTAATTGACTAAAATAAGTTTTTTTCTTATAAAACGTAGTTTAGATGTATTTTAACGACCATGTCTACTTCAAGCTAATGTCCCTGTTGTGGAAACGTTATGCAAAATAACACTTTTCCACGCAGAAAAAAAACAAATGTTTAATGTGTTGGAAAATTTCTATTTGAAAAAAAGGCCCTTTTGTGAAGGTCGCCGTGAGATAAACAGATATAGCGGTGAAGCGCATCTCTTGAATCGACGAAACTTACAGTATCGTTCTGATCATCAAGTTACTTTTTCGAAAGACTTACATTATAACTAAACCATTAGGATATGGTTTCTTTGTGTGATATAGTACGTGTTTACCATTAACATTCAAGAGTTTACAATATTTTACTCTGTCCTCATGTGTACAGTCTGTAGCATCGTCAAAAATAGGGCGTTTCTCGTTTAAATTTCTGAAAGGTGTCGGCATTTTGATAAAATACGGTCCCCACTTAATCTGGTGTTGAACCTTTCCGTCTTTCTGGCACTTGTCTTCAGAACTGTTTTTCACTGATGGTTTTTACAGAAAGGTCAGAAACTGTTTCCCAAAAACAAACAGTTATTAATCTTTTGAACAGTGAAAATCATCGACACTCCATTTCTAAAGCCGATTGAGGTCATTAAGTAGTGTTGCCACACTTGCTGTAATCATTTAAGTCATTGAGACAAAATATCGTATACATCACACCCACGTAAAACACGCTCTCGTAAAAATACACTCACGTAAAAATACACTCACGTACAAATATACTGACGTACAAATACACTCACGTACAAATACACTCACGTACAAATATACTGACGTACAAATACACTCACGTACAAATATACTCACGTACAAATATACCCACGTACAAATACACCCACGTACAAATATACTGACGTACAAATACACTCACGTACAAATATACTCACGTACAAATACACTCACGTACAAATATACTGACGTACAAATATACTCACGTACAAATACACTCACGTACAAATACACTCACGTACAACTCACGTACAAATATACTCACGTACAAATACACTCACGTACAAATACACTCACGTAAAAATACACTCACGTACAAATACACTCACGTACAAATACACTCACGTACAAATATACTCACGTACAAATACACTCACGTACAAATACACTCAAGTACAACTCACGTACAAATACACTCACGTACAAATACACTCACGTACAAATACACTCACGTAAAAATACACTCACGTACAAATACACTCACGTACAAATATACTCACGTACAAATACACTCTCGTACAAATATACTTAAGTGCAAATACACTCACGTACAAATATACTCACGTACAAATACACTCACGTACAAATACACTCACGTACAAATATACTCGCGTACAAATACACTCACGTACAAATACACTCACGTACAAATATACTCGCGTACAAATACACTCACGTACAAATACACTCACGTACAAATACACTCACGTACAAATACACTCACGTACAAATATACTCACGTACAAATACACTCACGTACAAATATACTGACGTACAAATACACTCACGTACAAATACACTCTCGTACAAATATACTCACGTACAAATACACTCACGTACAAACAAACCCTCGTACAAATCAGGTAAAACACACTTATGAGTTTACAGTTTTAGTGTAAATATACATGTAGATATTCCTTAATGATTTTGGTTTAAACTTTTATGTTAATAATTGCACAAACGACAACGTGTTGAATAGAGCCTTTGATTTTGGTGTGATACGTTCACCTTCAAAAGAAGAGATTTCTCGTCTGCAACCAATCTGTGGATAGTCGTGAGATAAGGCAGTGAAGGAAAACGTATATATTAAATTTGGAACCCTACTACTTTGGAGATTGTCTTTAACAGGGCTCTTCAAGATAATTTTCAAAATAACAACGAAATTCGACACTGTATTATTTTCATAGCTACTTGATAACAATGTTTTTGGCAAACTTTGCCGTCCTTGATCGGCACGAGATTTGATGGTTGGTAGGGTGGAAATAACGGTCACGTGACCAATTAATTAAGATATCTATGATAAGTTGCTGGAAAGAATTTTTTTCAATTTGCCCATTAGAAATGACTCTGTTGAATGAAATAAATAAAAGTTTCACCGATACAATGGGCTCAGATTCGGCAAGTATTTATAGTTTTACTGGGCTTCACCGACATGAACTGGAAACTCGTCCTTAAACTTCTCTGTCGACATCTGAGCGGAACAATTTAGCGATAAGTGTTAAGGTTAGGGTATTTCCTTCTCCTTAAATGTACATGTGTGCCATTTGTGAACAGGTCTTTTCGTTTACTTTTTCTCTGTAAGGGATCGAACCTGGGACCTCTGGTGACCACTCAAAGTTTCTATCGAATGATTTAGATCAGATGACCCGGGTTTGATTCCTAGCGCTACCTAGCGTTAGTACATCAATCACAAAGTATGCAGCATTACTTGGTACATATGTACCCACAACTCATCGACGTAACTATGGCAACCTCTCCATTGATGTTACGTATGTACAAGATGTTAAAGCTAGATTGTATAGGAGAGTTAAGTGTAGAACCCTTAAGGGTCTTATTCTGCAAAACTGAATTACAACAAAGATATATTTTCAAGAGCCTAGGGTCTATCTATCTGGTAAGTCAGTCGGAAATTGGTCACGGAAAATACAGTTGGGACCGTAAATAGTATATTAACTAAATTTGGTTAAAGACGAAAAAAATGACGAAAATACGAAAATGAAGGCCTGATTGGCCAAATCAAATTTTGAACCGAAAAGTGCCCAGGCTTTGATCTGCAGATAAGAGCTAGAAAAAACTGTACCAGCCAATCAGAGATTAAGGCGGCCATGTTGGATTTCCGACGGATCCCAAAGAGAACGATACATGAGCCGTTGATTGGTTATGTGTTAAAATATCCTACAGTTACCACAGCATTCTAGAGCAACCGGAACAACAAAAAAAACAAACAGAACTTAATGTCAACGCGATGCCTTTCATGGTCGTCAATGTCAACATTTTTTTCTGACGTAAATAAAGAGTTCGTAAAAAGTCCGTCCCATACACAGCCACATGTGTAGTTCGTCGACTCTACATGGCACCTGTAACAAATACATGTACATATAGGAAGTGGTTCCAAATTACAGAAAGGCCACATCTGGAGACACGCTAAAATACGTTACATTGTTACTACTTATATATGTACAACGCTGAAAAAAAAACTCTGTAAATATCTTACCGATAGGTCTAGTCTCCGAGTAAGTGTGTCCAAGATATGATCAGAAGTCCAGGAGGAAACTGTGTGTGCGTCCTAGTGTGTGACACACATGTTAATCTACACACATGAGTTAAAAAGTCACTCATCCACGTTCCGTAGTCACACGCGAGGGCACGCAGTCCATCAGAATCCAAAACCGAGGCTCTCAGTCTCAAAAACCATAAAAAGTCTACACTACCGTCATCAGTTACCATGACAACGCCAAAATGTAACAAAGTTGAGCTGCGCTGAGGATGCAGTGTACAGCTGTTAGGAAACATGGCAGAGATCGGTGGCGTGGGGTCCAGCCTAAATATCACAGCGATTAGAGCAAGCGAGATTTGGTGATTTATCACTGGTTCTTTGGTTTGATTTGACACAAGGGATACTGTAGTGAGATTTTACGTACATGTACACTTATCGAAAGAGAACCACTGTCCTGGAAACGATAATTGTGTGTATGATATATTAACGAGTACTGTCTGTAATCATAGCCACAGCTCTAGCTTTACATTATTTCTGAACAAATGTCTATCATTAGAAGTTAATAGAGAGCATCAGAGAAGTCAGTGCCCACACTGAAATATCACATCACCCGTTGTTTCCGTCAGTTTATCCTCAACAAATTGTAGGGGGCTAGATAACCAATAGTCTCCTCTGTACTTCTTTTTTTCTTCTAGAAATTATCTCCTGTGGTGCTTGTTGTCCGACACAGTGGTATATAAATAGATCGACGGTTACGCTTGACCACCTTCATCAATAAATTCTGTTTTATGTTAACTGGTGTGGAGGTTTCGTATTAGGTGATAAAACTGATTCATTAAAGTATATAGACAGCCACGCCCACTGTGGCCTTTGATTAGTTCTCTCAGTACTGTAATACTATTGGTGCTGTAGTTCACTTGGTGTCTCAGTTCTCTCAGTACTGTTATACTATTGGTGCTGTAGTTCACTTGGTGTCTTAGTTCTCTCAGTACTGTAATACTATTGGTGCTGTAGTTCACTTGGTGTCTTAGTTCTCTCAGTACTGTAATACTATTGGTGCTGTAGTTCACTTGGTGTCTCAGTTCTCTCAGTAATGTAATACTATTGGTGCTGTAGTTCACTTGGTGTCTCAGTGCCCTCAGTACTGTAATACTATTGGTGCTGTAGTTCACTTGGTGTCTTAGTTCTCTCAGTACTGTTATACTATTGGTGTTGTAGTTCACTTGGTGTCTTAGTTCTCTCAGTACTGTAATACTATTGGTGTTGTAGTTCACTTGGTGCCTTAGTTCTCTCAGGTGGTGCTGTAGTTCACTTGGTGTCTCAGTTCTCTCAGTACTGTAATACTATTGGTGTTGTAGTTCACTTGGTGTCTTAGTTCTCTCAGTACTGTAATACTATTGGTGTCTCAGTTCTCTCAGTAATGTAAGTTTAAATAAATATTTCACTTAACGGGTATGCGCTAGAGCTTACAATATAGAAAATTCACGTGAATTGCCATTAACATGAACTTTCTATTTTGTTAGCCCTTACGCGTTCCCGGTAGGTAAAATAGAAGGCAGCATGACATTTTATTTAATAACATTTCTCGTTAATGTATTGTCATAATAAAATCCTTATTAGTGGCTCTTAAAACCGATGAGCAAAACCCAAATATATTTCAATCATTTTAGACTTTTATTTAAATCAGTAATCAGTTTTAAGTCATCTGTTTATATCTTAGCTTCAGTAAGTCATGTTTCTATATTCTTCTCTTTCTAACTTTTTCCCTGAAGTTATTCTGTTTTCTGATCTCTTCATCTTAAATGTATACATGTAGCAAATTAAATTTGATAAAAGTGTATTCTGTTGTAGATCTACGTGAAATTGTTTTCTTTTCTTTCTTTCTTTCTTTTTAAGGCATTTCTAAATTATGATAACTTGTGACTTATCCCATTTAAACAAATAAAATCCCATTTGTTATATTGAACAAATAAAATACGTTTGAATCAGAGGAATCGATAGATTAAAAAGAGGGAATTGTCGCCTCATTTTTCCACTGTGAATAAATGTAGCTGTAGAAATAAAGAGATATTATGATATCACGTCTTAAATAAAATGTGATAATGTTCAGACATACTATCAGTCATAAAATTGTTACATGGAATTCTCAGTAATCCTTTGCGCCAATGGCGGTTAGCAACATGACGACAAATAGTCTCGCTCACTAAGACGCTTCATCACGTGTGGATATAACAAGAGTCTTGCTGAGGGATACTAAGCGATTAACATCTTACTCGGGAATATACAGAGGTTGTCCAAAAGGATAAGCTAGGAAACACAAAACAGCATCAACTTGTGCGGGACAATAATCAAGGACAGAAGAGCTACAGCTACCAACCAATCTCTCCTTTTCTTAAGTCAGCTTTCCTTCTGAATCCCCTTCCAAATCTTACAATCCACTGCATTTTTAATACTCACAGCGCATCTCTTTTTGTTTTGTTCTGTTTTGTCTGTCGCCATATTGTATGGGTTGTTCGTGCTCGAGATGGATCTGAAACAGCAAAATCTGAACCAACCTTTCGATGAGTGTTCAGGGAATCGAACCCCGGACGTTTAAGCGAAAGACGAGTACGTTACCACTGCGCCATCCGACCATTACATGATGATGGCGTACATGATTTTAACATATCGGTACACGTCGGTTTTTCGTGTATGTCTTATTTAACATTTATGCTAAAAAAACACATTTAACAAATTTAAAAAAAATCACACCGTGAATCAAGGAGTTGAACATTTGCGTCTTCTTGATAAACTTTTAGGCAGTGTGTCCTATTTCATGTTATGTAATAGTTAATAAAGATGGATTACAGAACTACCGTGTTTATCTTTTAAACATCATTGTTGACCGGAGACCGGAAATAGATAACTTAGAGCTAAAAAAAATCCTGGAAAGTGAAAACTAATCATGAAACCGACTCCGGATATGGCTAACTCGAGAAGCAGCTCTTAATGACATGCGACGGGCCTTCCGCAATGTTCGGTTACAGAGCCACTAACAACTAGATGGATATTCGCCATATAATGACTGACAATTGACGGGCTATAAACCAGGCAAGTAGGTGTCTTATTTAAATTACAGCCTTAATTTCTTCCGGTCTCTTGATATCCTAATTCCCTTTGTTTCCCTCATGTTTATGTTCTCTTTACTTCTCACCAGTCTCTGCTTCTTTTCCATCGAAGACTAATGCTGTCATGGGTGTGTCTTGCGTTGTTCGTTCACTAGCACACAAGTGTAAATGAGAGATGAACGGACCTTACATTTGTAACATATGATGTTATTTTTTTTAAGGGATGCATCCGGTTAACCAACACAAATAACCGTAAGATTACTCCAGGTTGTGAGAATACCAGGACATCACGAACTACCGGCATAATATATACATGTATAGACTTACTCAAGACGGACAACACACAAGTAAGGGACCATATGAACGGACATACGGACACTTTCATTAAAACATATTTTATTTGTATCAATATATACAAGAGGATTAGGCACAAGTATTCAAACGTGTATGAAGTCCTTGTCCGATAGAGATTTTACAAATTTGTATTAACAAGATGACAGATTTTGTTTACATGAGAGAGAGAGAGAGAGAGAGAGAGAGAGAGAGAGAGAGAGAGAGAGAGAGAGAGAGAGAGAGAGAGAGAGAGAGAGAGAGAGAGAGAGAGAGAGAGGGAGAGGGAGAGAGAGAGAGATAGGGAGAGAGAGAGGAAGTGGAGAGAGAGAGAGGGGGGTTGAGAGAGAGAGAGATGGGGAGAGGGAGAGAGAGGGGAGAGAGAGATTGTTGAGAGAGAGAGAGAGAGAGAGAGAGAGAGAGAGAGAGAGAGAGAGAGAGAGAGAGAGAGAGAGAGACTGACTTATAGTATAGTTTGTGGGTTTAGGTACGGAGATTTCTAGACCTTACAGCGAGGGACGGTTAATCAGTCCAACAATTTCACACTCGAACGAAACAGCTTCGGTTCGCTTCCATAGCGAAGAAAAACAATTTTGTTTCCCTATGAGCTATTCCCATTGCGTTGCTCGTCGTTTCACGCGCAATATAATACACGTGCAATGAAATATGTATAATTAGCTACTCATAAACACACAAGTATCAACAGACTAAACGATCATCTACAAAAACAAGCATGTTCGTTTTGGTAATCCCTGAGGTAAAGAGCAGAGGAGTGTGTGTTTCTCGTATTCACAAAACTGAATGTCAAGCTTGGAGACTAAAATAATGGTCAGTTTTGTTACTGACGTCAAAAAATACACACCTTTATGTTCTGTGTTCTATTAAAACCTAGAACAGTTTTTTATATGATCTAATTTCTGACAGCCAAAGTGTCACCAGTAAATATCCCATAACTTGGATGTAAATATTTATTTACAAAAAGTATTCAAAGTTTAACTAACATTGTCGAAATTCTTAAAACTAGATTATTTCTCTCACTTGGTAATGTTGGTGATCAGTGTTAACTGTCCAAAAATTTAAAGTATCGTTTATGTAGATCTGTTAAGGTAAAAACATATATTTCAAAATAATATACGTATATATATGTATGTGTAGTAGATAGAGATCGATCTCTTCGATCTGTCCCTGTAAATCAATATATCGGAAGCTTGGATAAACCACAAATTAGGTGTAGTATACTGGAAGGGTGAGCTGTTCTCAGTTCACTGAATCTTGGTTTTGTAATTTAATAAAATCTTTGATTGGTATACTCTCAAATCTCTCTACTGGACAAGACAGAATATATAACATTACTATATATCATTACACCTTATTTATAATTCTTTTATTCTAGTTATCATAACTTACATGTTCTCTGGTGTGAGGGGTGGGTTTATTGCTTTCTGTCATAGATCGTAATCATCCTATATATTTCATTTTGATAAAAAGTCCTTTATGAACAATAGCCTAGTAAAAATTTCTATAAAACGATAATATCAGCTAGAGCTGGTATTTGAAATGTTCTTAATATTTATTGTATCGTGGGATTGATGTTTGCTGATTGTAACTGTCACGTCTACAGGGAACGAGATATGCGTGCCATACTTATTGATAGGAATCCATGGTTTGCAGCATTTCAGTAAATGAAGCAGTAGAATTAAATACATACTTTTGATATTTATAACCACCACTGTTGAAGATTTATATAGGTCGTTGAAATGAAATGAAACTGCGATAGTGGGGAGTATGGGGGGAGGGGGGGGGGAGCGGAGCAAATCCATTTTAAAAACAAAACAATGAAGATACAGCTTCAATTTAAATGTGTCTTTTATTGAAGAAACAGAATACACTATTTTCAGTATTATCATAACTTTTGTTCATACCAATCCTGGTACATTACTTCTTCCAATGTCCCCTTCATGTAAATTACAGGCATCACATTACCACTATCTATAACCTTCTCGGGTTTGTGAATCTTCAAGTTTTATTATATCGTGTCATTGGTAGACTGACGGTGTGAATACTTGAGAATACTAGCTCCTATCTTAAAAAAACTAAACGATTTGTAAATCTCAAGTAAAATTATCATTGCAAGTTCTAACTGAATTTCATTTATAGTACATGTATGAGAATGAGTGAGAATGTGTTTTTATTTTCATATTTATGCTCATTATTCTTCTCAGCTTCCGTCCTTAATTTATATTATACTCTAAAATAAAACAAACAGTTCCGGTAACTTGTAGGAAAATACTTATATAGGCTATACGCCTGTTGTCTAATTCCTTTTGTTAATACATATATACTGTACTTTCTTTTGTAAATTCAATTATTGTAATGTATATGTATTGAGAATAAAATATTTTGAAATGAGATAACTTCAGAATGACTCCTAATCTAGATGATCCCAGGTCGGATTGTGATTAAAATCAACGACACTGTAAATTAACAGACTCATGATAAACTTTGTACAGAAATTAAATTAATGAAAAATTAAGAAATATTAATATGAACTACACATATTGTTTACAACTTGTCTTTATTAAATTGAAAAATGGAACAGAATTTTAGAATAGAAAAGAAATTTCGAGTGAAAGAGAAGACGTTCAGATGTTTTGGGGATTTTCAAAAATTAATTTATGCTATTGAACAGTCAGGTCGTATGAGAACAGATGTCACTACGGAAACCAAGAATAGATAAATAGTATATGAAGTAAGAGGTACCACAAAAATTACATTGGGGGCAGCAATGCTATTTGGTATCTTCATTAACCAAAATGACAGAAGACACGGACGAAAATAACAGCAGGAGATAACATCGAAAAAAACTACCCCCATGTGATATAGGGAAAGATTTTTAACACAAAAAATTGCAAACAGATTTTTACTTTCTTCGATATGTAGTCTTTTAAAACGTAAATACAAGTTTCCTATGTTCCCGTATTAAGCTGGTTGATATGGTGTTGAAAAGTAAAATTCCACGTGTACAGTTTTTAAAGTGTTCCAATAGGACCCATCTTTAAAATACACCGAGGAAGGGACCTGTATTAAAATTGGTTTATATAATTTGGTAATGTTCAACGGGTTGCATCATATATCAAATATATTATTAAAGTTTCAAACTTAAAAAATTAAATATTGACTTTTCGGGGAAAGATGGACCACAGAAATTCATTTTTACCGATTAAAAATGACATTTCCCTTAAAAAATAAACATTTTAACTCCGAAACACATCACACAAGTTTTCAAATTCAAGAAAAAATTGACAGACAATTGTTTAATTTCTATTTTTTATTATCATTGTTTAGTTATATTGACTTTGATTTGAATACTCGTGTCATATACCATTTATGAAACCGTGAGTGATTTTGATGAGTTCGAGTGAAATCCATCACACGAAATTTTGCCGCACGTGCCTGACCGGTGGTCACTATTTAGGTGTGACAACAAGAGTGATTAATCATTCTGTTTAGACAATAATTAATTGGTAAATTAGATTAACTCCATAAATCTGTTTACCTTACCAATCAAATAATTACGTGTATCTTGCAGAAACGTGCTAGAGCACTACGAGACACCGGGACAGGTAAGTTCACAAGGAGATGAGTACATGTCAGCGACGATGGCCGTAATTCTGTCCGCTGATTGGTCGATCAAATCACTCACCTGTAGTGCCAGGGATTTGTTATTCTGGGTATAAAAAAAGAATTCAACTATAATTTCTGATTATTATTCAGCTTTGATCACTAACGTCTCCAATCGTCACCGTGATCCACAGTACACTATACCTGAGATCTCAACATGCAAGTCAAGGTGGGTTGTTCTAATCATATTGAGTATAGATTTTAACACTTTAAATAACATAATGACATACACAAATATATATATTGCTTTTTAGAATCGGCATGATATATTCCTAGAATGGTGTAATAATTCTGGATCTTAAACTTAAAAAGTGATTGACTGAGGAGGTGAAATCGAGCATAACCTGCCGTGACTAGATACAAACAGTATGTATGCAGTGATGACACAACTAAGACGGTTTAATTGGTGTCTCAACATTGCAATAAATTAAATAAATACATTTTCCTTAGAAATATTGGTCGTACACGCTTTAAAGCTTCAACTCAACATGTGTTCTATAAAGTATGTGTCAGGGATATTTATTTCGTGAGAATTAACAAACAAACATGTAAAAAAATTATACAAATGGACGACAAAAAAGTATTTAACATTTGGAGTTCAGTTAATTTTGTACCGCTTTGTGTGTTACAAGAGTTACTTCCCCTTGTAAACTTCAGACCAGTCTCAACTTTACGCCATGTACTACTTGGTTACCGGAAGTGTGCCGTGACCAAAACGAATGTATGATGTTGTAAATCTGATTTAAATGTAACAATGTGAAATAATGTCGTTGAAAAAGTCAGTTTCTGATGATTCTGAACACATACAAAACAGAATCCAGAAGTTGACAGAAGATGTCAGCCGGGTTTTCATCTGGTTACAGTATCATTGATCATCGATATATGTAGATGTGGTTTGATACTGCTTGATTAAAAAAAATTAACATAAGGAAACTAAATGGTTGGAAAATTAATGGATTTTTTCCATCAATTACTATATTTTTACGGATTTTTTTTTTTTTTTTTTTTATAAACAAATTAACAAGTTTTTTTTCTGAATTTGTGTCAAGTTAATTCACAACAATAGATATAGATTTGTCATGTAAAGTCGGCAAAATGGGTTTAGTAATTTGAAAATTCAATCCTTGTTCCTGTTATTTAGTGGTATTTGATATATCGAGAGTGACGGTCTTACAAAAACACAGACTAACGAAATTCCCATATTCTTATCATTGTATAACTGTATGTGAAATTTTTTTCACTTTTCGCCCTCTTTCTTCAACAATTTTTCAGCCAAGAACGAACTTTTACGTTTGTAAAGTTCAGGATTATTTCTTTGGACGTTGAACCTATGCAGAAATCCATTTCAACGTAATTATTTGATTAAGTTTTATTCGCTGAGATACAGCTAAACTTAGATATACTCATATTCGATGTGATAATTTAAAAAGGATTTAAAAAAAAAATTTTGCGTAAAAAAATGAAGTAACCACACGACATTTTATTCCTCATCTACCAAAATGAAAAGAAAAACAGTGACATTTATTTTCCAACTTCTATCTGCAAGTTACAATAATGAAACCCATTTTATCACCAATAACACTTTCGATACATATGCATACACTTGTGATGAATATTATATGGACATTAATAACTATTTTGATCTGTTGGCAGCTAAACGAGCTGAACCAGCAGCTTGATAGCCAGGTTAAACCGGAAGACGTACAGCGCAGTCATAATCGTCTACCGGAGGTAACCCAGCACCAAAACATGCTCTATACCCGGAGGGAATCGTTCGAGTCACGTGACAGTAGTTTTAATCCGCATTTTGGAACGGAAATCCTACACGAGTCAATCAACAACAACTACGTCACTGATTCCGCATATGACGTCACAAAACAGAGCCTCACCGACAATACTTATTATCCGGCTGAGAGAATGGCTCCATTTCCGGTTACATCTCCTGTACTGCTGACCACAACTCCACAGTCAGCTTCCTCTGACGCGGCCTCGGATAGATCTTGTGAGGAAGGTTCGTATGTTATACAGTTGTCAGTTCGCAGTCGGGTTAATTCAGAAAAATGTTCACGAAATTTGCATCGGTTTAATTGAAACATGTATTTTCCGTCCATTTCTATGGGTAAAAAGTTCACGTACATGTGGTTTATGAAAGAGCGCAGCAAACAGGGGTACGTAGAAAAATCTATTGGCCAAACCCTGTGGCAATGGCCTAGAATGTTTTTTTTAAGTAGTAAAGCAGTGACCACACTGTACAAGGCAAATTATTAATATGCATGAAAAAAGGAAATAAAAATATTTTGTTCATGCATTTACTTTACAAACGTTTGCAGAATAACTATTAATATTTTTTGTACATTCCATATGTCGATTTTACAGAAGAACTGATCGATGTTGTCAATGACTCACTCGGAACGTCTCTAGGAAGTGACTCACTCGGAACGTCTCTGGAAAATGATTCCCTTGGAACATCTCGTTCTACTGATATTTCTTGCAAGGAGACGGATATGTCCATGTCTACCCAGAGTTCTCTATCGGACCAATCTCCTTCCGCCGGAAGTCTTACAACGTCATCACCGGAACTCTCTACTGCAGTGACACCAGAATCTGCACAAACTTCTAAAATAAAGAAAAGGACAAACTATTCGCCTAGTCAAGTCCAGGCATTGGAGAAAGTGTTCCATGAAAATCCCTACCCTGACTCGGAACGCATGGAAGAAATGTCACGTGACCTTGGTATCGCTGAAACTAAGATAAAGGTAAACAATTTACGGAACCAATCGGATAAATGAAATTGACATTGAAATTGCATGGAAACGAACAGTACTCGCAAACAAAATCATCTGGTCCATGTTGTCTTGTGTACTTTGTATTTAGATTCTAGTACTGCTATGCGGAATATAACATTAGATAATGCTGGTCCTATCACTTTCCAGTTGTTTAATGCACTGTTTTTTAAGATAATGCTAATTCATACATCAGTTCACGGTAAAATACTAATAATAAAATCATCGCTTTCTTAATATTGCATTCATAGCAAATTAAAAGTTATGGAATCATATCGCCTATTTATGCCATATCATGACCTCGGGCTTTATCTAAAACAAATCTTAAAAAATCACAACATTCTTGTTGAGAAAGACACGATATTTTGATGCTCAAAGTATATTAAGGTCATCAAATTAGCTCCTGTTCCATTCAGAAATTTTAAACGGAACAGAAAAACGTTTGAGCTCAATCCATGTTCTCTCTATATCCGAGATACATATTGATATATCGCTATTCTCCTTGTTACAGGTTTGGTTCCAGAACAAACGAGCTCGATGGCGCAAGAGGGTGCAAGATGACAAACGCATGATGGCATACGACCACAGGGCGTTTCCATCCCCCTTCATGTCGCCTCTTTCCCCAGTCATGTCACCAGTCGCCTCCTACGGTTTTCTGCCCGGAAGTCCTATGCTTGGGTCACCCTCCTCGCCATCCCAAGTCGTGCCCGGTCCTATGATGCCATTTCCCCGTCCACCTACGTCACCAAGCTCACCTCTAGCCAATCAGAAACAGCCCTCAGTGATGACACCGCCTTTCCAACAACGCCCACAGCTGCCTGGATATTTTTACTCGTTTCCCTACGGAATGTACCCGCCTTACTTCTGTGGATAGGGGAGATAACTCCCTGTTGTTATATTGTGTGTGTGATGATGACAGAACGGAAGTTGCGTAAAAACGGACGCGTGTTAATATTGTTATATTTTGTTATGTTTGTTGAACTTTGAACCCAGTGCAAAACGATGTGTAAAAAGGAAACCGTACAATCCGTACATATGTATATGGGTGTGCTCTGTGTTGACCACGGACGACACATGATCACAATCAAGATGTGAACAATTTTGTAAAAGGAAGTTCAAATATTGATATATAAAGTATTTAATCAGTTTAAATTTGTATATAAAACTGTGTTATTGATTAAAAAATCTGAATTGAAGTGTTATAATTTCAATATTTTTTTATACAACTTGTGACGTCATGATTTGCTATGGACAGTTGTTAATATGTATTTTAAACAAGATAACAACATTTTTTCTCTGTGATATCTGTTTACTAAATTACGCTGTATGTGATTCGAGGACTCCATCCGCTGTTAAGCTTATCGCTATACTATTCTGAACCGACACAGAGATAGAAAGGGAAGTAACTCAGAGAGATCTGAATGATTGTTGGCGTTTGACGATTCAATAACTTACAGATGTATATTTCTTATACAGTCAAAGTAAGTAAATAGTAAGTAAACACGAGTATCTTCTACAATATGAGGATGTATAAGAGAACTACTATCGGGTAAAAATCTCACCAGGTAAAATCTACATGATACAGGTTTCATATTTATGATACTCGGTAGTAAAATACAGATCACCTAGTTTCAAGAAAATATTTGGTAATCACAAGTTTAATATGTTATAATTACAAAACAAAGATATCATAATATCGAAATAACACAAGTCGGACAACATATATCATGACATCGAGATAAAGACAGACCGGACAATATATATCATAACATCGAGATAAAGACAGACCGGACAATATATATCATAACATCGAGATAGAGACAAACCGGACAATATATATCATACCATCGAGATAAAGACAAACCGGACAATATATATCATAACATCGAGATAAAGACAGACCGGACAATATATATCATAACATCGAGATAAAGACAGACCGGACAATATATATCATAACATCGAGATAAAGACAGACCGGACAATATATATCATTACATCGAGATAAAGACAAGTCGGACAATGTATATCATAACATCGAGATAAATAAAAGCTGGGTAGTATGATATGGTGACTGTATTATGATGTAAATATGTAAACTTTCTTTTTATCCTTCCACATAGAACCTACTACCGGGTTCAGAAGATAACAGAAGTAGATAAATTTTAATTTTATGTATTTTTTTTCCAAAATGAATTAGAATAGCCTAATGCATTTTCCTATACCTACCTAACATAGAAGCATGGGTCCATATCGGCTTTGTTACCGACTTCGTTATCTCGAGGTACATTGTATCTGATTACACTGTGACGTCATTACCTCAATTTTTACCTTATAACGAGATAAATGCTCGCCCACTCCAAGGCCGAACAGCCGAAGTAGCGAATGTGAAACTCTATATTATAAATGATTATGCAATGACGTGTCCGCGACTGTCATACCTCTGTGATTTAATCACTCACATAATTGCGTACATGTGATTAAAACTTCATTTATTTATTGTTGCAGGATGTAAACACACTTGAGATTGATTTTTTCCTCTTATTTTGATAAACATTTGCAATAGCTATTTAAAATGTATAAATCTTTAAATTTGTACGATTGTTAGGCATTGTGTCCAAATGACGTCATCATTGAATTTTTCCTTACATTACTATTTATGGTACATGGAATGTAATGTTTCATATAATACACATTAATTCACTCTGGAATTTGTCAAAACCTCTCTGGAATACAGCCTTTAATAAACTAACATATGAAAAGTGTCACGTGTCCTGAATATAAACACCGTTATTGCTGAACAGTGAACCAGGAAGTGATATAAATTCTAACGACATAAAGCCGTTTAAATGGCAGATGTTGCCATTTAAATTAAACTGTAAATAGGTTTGTGAAAATTACATAAAGCCGCTGTCCTTCAAAATAGGAAAAAATAAAAAGTAGTGTACTCTAACTAACCAGCCTGCAGTTAGAGGAAACGAAAACACTGTTATTAAATGTAGCATGTACGTCTTTATTGTAACAAAGAAAGTAGACGCACCAATGCATTATAGTTACTGAAAGTTCAATCATTAGAGAATACATTGTAGACATAGGTATACAAACGAGAAAGTTATGCCAACCATAGATTATTAGAAACCAGTAAGTTATTCCAAATATAGATTATTGCAAACGAGTAAGTTATTCCAAATATAGAATATCACAAACGAGTTAGTTATTCCAAATATAGATTATTACAAACCAGTAAGTTATTCCAAATATAGAATATCACAAACGAGTAAGTTATTCCAAATATAGATTATTACAAACGAGTAAGTTTTTTCAAATATAGAATATCACAAACCAGTAAGTTATTCCAAATATAGATTATTACAAACGAGTAAGTTATTCCAAATATAGAATATCACAAACCAGTAAGTTATTCCAAATATAGATTATTACAAACCAGTAAGTTATTCCAAATATAGATTATTACAAACCAGTAAGTTATTCCAAATATAGAATATTACAAACCAGTAAGTTATTCCAAATATAGAATATTACAAACCAGTAAGTTATTCCAAATATAGAATATTACAAACCAGTAAGTTATTCCAAATATTGATTTTTACAAACTAAGTTATTCCAAATTATTATTACAAACGAGTAAGTTATTCCAAATATAGATTATTACAAACCAGTAAGTTATTCCAAATATAGAATATTACAAACCAGTAAGTTATTCCAAATATAGAATATTACAAACCAGTAAGTTATTCCAAATATAGAATATCACAAACGAGTAAGTTATTCCAAATATAGATTATTACAAACCAGTAAGTTATTCCAAATATAGAATATCACAAACGAGTAAGTTATTCCAAATATAGAATATTACAAACGAGTAAGTTATTCCAAATATAGAATATTACAAACCAGTAAGTTATTCCAAATATAGAATATTACAAACGAAGTAAGTTATTCCAAATATAGAAATATTACAAACCAGTAAGTTATTCCAAATATAGATTATTACAAACCAGTAAGTTATTCCAAATATAGATTATTACAAACCAGTAAGTTATTCCAAATATAGAATATTACAAACGAGTAAGTTATTCCAAATATAGATTATTACAAACCAGTAAGTTATTCCAAATATAGAATATCACAAACGAGTAAGTTATTCCAAATATAGAATATTACAAACCAGTAAGTTATTCCAAATATAGATTATTACAAACCAGTAAGTTATTCCAAATATAGAATATTACAAACGAGTAAGTTATTCCAAATATAGATTATTACAAACCAGTAAGTTATTCCAAATATAGAATATCACAAACGAGTAAGTTATTCCAAATATAGAATATTACAAACCAGTAAGTTATTCCAAATATAGATTATTACAAACGAGTAAGTTATTCCAAATATAGATTATTACAAACCAGTAAGTTATTCCAAATATAGAATATCACAAACGAGTAAGTTATTCCAAATATAGATTATTACAAACCAGTAAGTTATTCCAAATATAGATTATTGCAAACGAGTAAGTTATTCCAAATATAGATTATTACAAACCAGTAAGTTATTCCAAATATAGAATATTACAAACCAGTAAGTTATTCCAAATATAGATTATTACAAACGAGTAAGTTATTCCAAATATAGATTATTACAAACGAGTAAGTTATTCCAAATATAGATTATTACAAACGAGTAAGTTATTCCAAATATAGATTATTACAAACCAGTAAGTTATTCCAAATATAGATTATTACAAACGAGTAAGTTATTCCAAATATAGAATATTACAAACCAGTAAGTTATTCCAAGTATAGAATATCACAAACGAGTAAGTTATTCCAATTATAGATTATTACAAACGAGTAAGTTATTCCAAATATAGAATATTACAAACCAGTAAGTTATTCCAAATATAGAATATTACAAACCAGTAAGTTATTCCAAATATGGATTATTACAAACGAGTAAGTTATTCCAAATATAGATTATTACAAACGAGTAAGTTATTCCAAATATAGATTATTACAAACGAGTAAGTTATTCCAAATATAGATATTACAAACCAGTTATTCCAAATATAGATTATTACAAACGAGTAAGTTATTCCAAATATAGAATATTACAAACCAGTAAGTTATTCCAAGTATAGAATATCACAAGCGAGTAAGTTATTCCAAATATAGAATATCACAAACGAGTAAGTTATTCCAATTATATATTATTGCAAATCAGTGTGTTATCCAAAATCAAGTTATAATAAAAATATATTATTACAAGCCAGTAAGTTATTCAGGAAATTGACTGACTGACTCACTTTAGAGATTTATTGGAGCCAAAACAAACTTGTGTTCGTCTGGAATCTCTTTGAGGTTATATCTGGTAAACAAACCACCATAATATTGGTACTTATACACGAACAGTCTAACAAAGACAGTCTACAAATATACAACTTATGTGACGTGAAAGTTAAGTACAACGATCCTAAATTTGTGCCGATTTCTTGTCACATTGTTTAAACGACTTTTCTCTGTGCTTTTCTGTAAATTTGACACTTTTCTTAAATTTTACATTTTCTCTGTTTACACTTTTCGTACACTTTTCTCTGTAAATTTGCGTATTAGTGCAACTGTTCTCTGTAAATTTGACCTTTTCTTAAATTTAATGGTTTACACACATTTTTACTTTTCTCTGTAAATTTGACACTTTTCTCTGTAATTTTTACACTTTTCTCTGTAATTTTTACACTTTTCTCTGTAAATTTTACTTTTCTCTGTAAATTTGACACTTTTCTCTGTAATTTTTACACTTTTCTCTGTAAATTTGACACTTTTCTCTGTAAATTTTACACTTTTCTCTGTAAATTTT